TTTTTTTTTTTTTTTTTTTTTTTTTCTTGCCTTCTGTTTTTTTCTGAAAGTATAGATATATATTTTGATCACTGGTTTTCTAGTCTCACGAAAGGTATATCAGCCTGAATTTGTACACATTTGTACGAAAGTCTAAGGTTGACTACCCTCCGCGAGGGGTATCCCCGCGGTAGCTGTTGCTCCCGCGAGGTTTAGATGGGTTCTGAGGGTGGGGGATCCTGGTACGTAGATATGGGTCAGTATTCGCAGTGAAGAGAATTTAGTTAGGGTGTAGTAACACCAATTATCCGTTCAGTCAGATTTTCAACTCTTTCAAACGTTTGAAAATTTGATCAATCAACCAGTACACCATATTTTCTTTCCTCTACAGACTCGCACGAATTGGTATTGCGTTTCAACCATGCCCCAACGATCGGTTTTGAGCAAGACGTGGGCTCCAGAACGGATGTAAGAATCGTGAATGACCTGGTGCTGTTGGATCGAAAATACTACGTGGTGCCAAATTTTAACTTCATGAACGACGCTCTATATCGTGATCTCACTGCCCTCATTGGATGGGTTCCTCGCGAGGAAGATGTGAGCATATACAACATTTTGAAACACAGAGAGAAAAAATGAGAAAAAATAACTTTTCCATAGATTAGTTCAGTTTTACAGCTGGAATATTTCAGTCGGGAGGTTAACTTCAACTTCGCATCTCATTGACGCGAATAAAACATTTTCAGCTCTGGAATGGTCCAATAATTGAGCACTACTTCGAGAGACGACGGCTGTTACCCCATGAATCTTTTTACATGTTTGAGACGCAAGGTCTATGGGACATTTGGGAATTCCTGCAAAAACTTGTGCCAATGCCGATTGTACAATACACCCCTTCATCTGGCGCTCTGGGTGAGTATCACAGTTAATCATTATATGCATTAATAACACCTTCAGAAGAGCAACTGTCCGCCTCAAAATTTTGAACCGAATCAATTATGGGATGCGTTACACTCATCCTTGGATGATTGATGCAGTACTGAAATTGCCAAAACAACGCGTACCATTCGTTATGCATTACACTAATGTAAGTGGCTCTTTCGCGAGACAGTCGCATGTAAAATACCAAAAGCGTACAATATTGTGATTGGCACTCTCAAAAGATCTTAGTCTGAAAAAATAATACAGCAGAATCGACGTCAAAAAATGGCTGAAAGCTAGTAACAAAACCCCCAATCTCCAACATAGAAGACGATTAAAAATAATTGTTCCCTAACTAAAAAGTTCGAGCTTTGCCGTCCATATTTTTTATTATATTTTTCTTTCCTTTCTCTAAATCCGCTTCAAGATGTTCAGTAGCACGACACGGGATTCACAGCTGTTATTTCCCAGGTCATGCATACGGAGGAGATTTTGACTTAGACTCCTTTTAACATCTACGGCCAGAAGCAGGGAGTTAAAAAATTCATAGAAGCCGCCCAAAGGAAAGGAAGCGAGAAAATACGTCCTTCATCAACTAACTGTACGCGATGTAATGAGCGTCTGAGATTCCCGTGGTATAAAAACACGTGCATCGAACAGTATGGGAGATTCCCATGCAGGCACCATTTGACCATAAAAAGTCAAAATCCCGCCGAACTTCTCCATTAATTCAAAGTCATGATATCACAAAACTTCGGGTAAACGTACTACAGCTTTATTTCGTTTTGAAAATAAATGCGAGTGGCCACATCAAATCCTCGGCGACTCGAGCCTCCCTATGTCGATTTTTTTCAAGTCCCTGTCTGAATCCTCGGAAATGATGCATTAAAACCTCTCTAACTCGAAATTTCTTGGTGATCCCTCGAAGTTCAATTCAAAGAGGTTCGACTGCAGTACGGTACTCAACTTTAGAAATGACTCACCATGTGAAACCACTCCGAATCCTCAGGCATGTTCCTCTTGCTGCACCACTGCGACGTGGTGCATGGCGTAGAGTTCATCCCGTCCGTCCGATTCCACTACAGCTACGGCTGTCACTACTTCGAAATCTACCAGCCACTACCATGTACTTTTTTCTCGCCGCACCCGAAGACGGCCGAAATGAGTCTCTGGTACAGGCTGAACCGAGCCAGTGATGAGGTCGTCTTCGGCCACGGTGTGACGCAATTACGCGGATTCAACGTCACGCAGTGCAAAGGAAGCAGAGGAATGAGAAGCTCGCCACCCCGCGTCGATTATACTCTCTTGCCGCCGCTCGGGTATCCGCTGTCTACGCCAACATCGTGATGTGTCCAGTTCTCGATGCGCGGTCAAAAACCGCGCATCGAGAATTATTTGACGAAGTTTTCCGAGAATCGTTCGTGAGTGTACAGAGAAAAGCTACTTTGTGTCATAAAGTGAGCTTTCGCATCTAAACCCACAAAAACGGGCGGCTTCTTTGGCAGCAAATCATATCTTTCCATGCATTTATAAAAAAGAATGTCAACGACCAGTGGTATAGACGTGAACTCGATTCATAGATAATCTCTACGGAGGACCAAAATGAAAAAAATCTATCGCGAAGAAGTTGAATACTGTAGGAATTGATTACAATATAAGGTTTATTGACCTTATATTGTAAAAATATAAGGTTGATTTTCCTTGTACGTATTGTAAAAATATAAGATTAATTTGCTTCGAAATTTGATGGAATCGAGTGAAATTTTTAGGAACATATGTGAAGGAACATTTTAAATAAAATTTACGGAGGTAATTAAGTTCGTGTTGAAAAAAAAACCACACCGCTGGGGAAATGAGTAATCACTATCTATCGATCGCTTTCACTGAATCACTCTTCCATCAAGCGCCATTAAATTATAAGCGACAGAAAATGTTTCCGACACTAAGGCCAATTCAATCGTCAAGCCATGACAAAGCATAATTTTCATTCCATACGCTATTTAAATTTTGTAACAAGCCAACAGGATTTTTAATTCAGTCATGCAACTAAAAGTTCCTCGCTAATTGTGAATTTTTAAGATGCATTTTGAGCGGGTCGTTTGTAAGGCAGTCCTGAGCTAGGCTGATTAAATAACCCGATGAACAAATCCTACACTGTCAACCAAGTCGTTTTAATGACTTGCGGCGCCATTCCAAAACTGTAAAACATCAAACAAACTCCAAAAATGTTCGCAGTCGAAGTTTTCAACTTTTCCTTAGTCTCTTCGACCTTCGTCTGCCAGTTTCTTCCACCTCTTCTGCAGGCGGTGATGTAGCTTTCTTCTTTTTCGTTTTATCCTCCTTTTCCACAAGTTCCCCTTCTTCAATTTGCTCTGTCTCGTCCGGCATAGCGGCTTCAACTGCAGGGTTCATTTCTTCGTCTTCCTGTGTTGGAACGGTTTCAGTACTCGGTTCTTCAACATCACCCGTTTCAACCTCAACAACAGTGGAAAGTTCCGGAACAGATTCTTCAGGTTTTTCGTTCAATGACGGCGTCGTTTCGCTAGTTTTTTCGGTCACTTTAGTAGCATCGGCAATTTCTTCTGGCACCTCTTCGTCGTCAGAATCTGCCCCAGGATGCTGCGAGGCTATCGTAATGACCGACCCTGCCAACGCTTCATCGGCCTTCAGAGCTTTGTCAACCGGAGTAAGTTCCTAAAATTCAAACACAAATTAGCACACCTTTAAACAATCTAATTCACGAGCTGACAAACGGAAGTCGTTCACGGTAATTCATTTCAAGTTTTCAAAAAAAAATTCGTATCATTACCAGAGATACTGAAACTGGGTGGGAACAAATATAGACGAGGAAGACGACGGTAATATAAATTTCTCGACATTCTACTCACGGGTTTCGGCAGACTCGAGATGAACTTCGAATACAATTCGTACACGTAATTCGCCATTTCCGGCATTGACTTCACCACAACGAACGAACCATATGGTTCTTCGTCTGGCTTACGCTTACACGGATACTTCTCTTCCGGAGCCAAGTGTAAATCCAATGGCCTTGTTCTCAACTAAAAATTAAAAATATTTAAAAATTTCAACGTATTGAAAATTTCAAAAGACTTTCGTAATACTCACGACATTGAAGGCGGGCGTCAGTTCAAAACAGTTTCGGAAAAGAGATGCCCGAGCAAAAACATACAATCCCAGTCTAGCACGGGACATGGCCACCACCAAGCGACGAACATCTCTCAAATGCCCAACCGCTTTCGTTCGAACTAGCGACAGCAAGATGTAGTCATTTTGTTGACCTTGATACTTGTCAACAGTGGTCACCTTTAGGAGATTTTCAGAACACAATTAATCCAAAGAAAAGCCCTCTTGTCACCCCATATCAACGGGAACCCAATTGCAGTATGAGAGAATAATGACACATGAATCTAGAAATAAATCCTAACCTTATGTGGATTTCCAAACAAAGGATTGTCCGTGCAACGTCGTTTGATGACATCTCGAAGAAGATGCTTCTGTCCATTGTAGGTTGTTAGAACAGTGATTTTCTCCGCAGGGTAACCCAACAGCCGCATGTACATATAGACGGCTACCACGTATTCAGCTTCACCAAGATTCTAAGAAACGAAAGATGTACTAATGCATTTCCCGGAAATGTAGTTTATCTAAAAAAAGCTAAATCACACATTCGCGAAGAAAGAGGGCTTCGCAGTTTTCCACCAAATTAAATAGAACATTCCCTCTCCAAAAATATGATCAAGTGAAGTACTGTAATTGAATACGCAAATGCATCATTTTCTTCAACTGCTGAGTAAACTCCGTATCACCACCCCGAAAATAACGCCTAAAACAAAAGAATTAAATTACACTTCCTCGGATTTTTGAATACCTCATTCTTTCAAATTATCCACAGTTGAAAAATATTTTTACTACTGATTTTTTATCGTCTCGGCATTTCAAGATTTTAAAGAATGGCAATTACTGCCTAAAAAGGCTTCACACACAATTTCACACTGTAAAGTAATTTATAAATTGGGTCGGTCGGTAAACTCGTCGACATTTTCAAAAAGAAAGAACCGCCCAATGATAAGCCTAATTTAATTTTTGAGTTTCAATAAATTCAGTAATAAAGATATTTTTGGGGAACCATGAGACGAACTCGCTCATTTCAGTATGCGTACATTTCGTATTTTTAGAAATAAACCAGAGAAAAACTTTTTCGGCATTAAAAAATTAAATAAAATAGCGAAGTACCTGATAGAAGTAGGGATTCGGTTCAGATTCCCCCGTGCCATTGAAATCGCCAACATCGATCAGCTGAAACACGTAACGGAATCCCGCATTCGCCACCAAGTACTCAGGTGACGAGTGCACGTGAGGCAGATTGTCCAGCTTTTTGTAGCGCCAATTGTACAAGGAGCAAATGCTGTCACGAAGCGAAAAGTTCATTATTGGGACTGAAGTTTTCTTTCATACGTTGATGCCCTTTACTCGCTGGTTGTTAAAGGTATCCATGATATTTCAAATAAACAAATTTTACCAGCATAAAAACATTTGCGAATGCTAAGGCAATGAAAATCGCAAAACTTATCTATGCCTCACCTGGGACGCGCTCGACCCTGAGCATCCAAGTCGACTGTTGGAACTCCAAGACGAACGAATCTGGAGAACAAGCTTTGTTCCATGTTGCTGTACCTTTGGAAAGCCATGTTCTTGATTACCGGTGGCAATTGGTGATGATCACCGATCATAATCCAGCGTTTCAAACGATTGTGGCCGTCGATCGGATTTTGCAGCAACAAGGGTATGAAAGTTTCGATTTCAAGAATTTGAGCGGATTCTTCCATGAGAATATTGTCATACGTGAACGCTGAAATTCCCAGATGGACATTGAATAATTTTCGGATAAACGAAATTGCTCGTCTTACCGTAAGAAACCAAGTCACTTCGTTTCAGCGCCGCGTGAGTACACGTCATGGCAATAATTTTTGCCTCCTTAACAAGCAAATAGCGAGATCGATCCGCACCAGAACGAAGCAATTCAAAAGGACGGAACTCCTCCAATTGCTGGAAAATCCGTTCTAAGTACCTGCAGAACAAAACCAATAGAAAAAAAGTCGACCCCCTACGCAAGTGGTACAGACCTGAAACATCCAACGGCGATGTTGTAGTCATCGTCGAAGTCTGCGCCTTTGAAGACCGGTTGCGGTGCGTTGCTGAAGAACTCGTGGAATGGAAAATGCTCGCAAACGCAGCTTTTCGTCGTTTCCTTATTCTGTACGAATGAGTAGGCATAAAGATATTTAAAAACTATTCACAAAAACGGAACACAGTCGAACGCAATGCTTTCAATTCATTAATATCACACGGATGGTATAAATTCTGCAAATTCTTCAATTCTTATGCATGCAAAACACATTCAATGGTTGAAATCTATCAGCAAGGACAAAAATCCAAAACTTATCGCTAAATTTCAGATTCTAAATAAGAGAATTATTTTTTACCAATGCAAATTAACAAAATTTATGAATACTCTCCAATCTTTTTTCAATAGGAAGAATTCACCTTCAAATTTGTCATTAGGTCAACAAACTTCGACCATCGCGAGACGACGTGGTTGAGAAAAAAATAACGGGCTGTTTCGCAAGTATAAGCAGCTTCTCCAGTTACACCCAAGGTCTCCTGCAAGCGGGCAACCTCCGCCAAAAGTTGCAACCTTTTGGTCAACACGAAGTTGACACGACCATATCGCGAGAAGTCCTTCTCAGTGTCCAGTGCTTCTTCCCCGTGACCAAGACGTAGCAAATGTCGTTCATCAACGTCTAGGGCCATGATTTTTTCGAACAGTTGATTCAAAGCTTGATTAGAATGCGTCACAATCAGGGTCCTCTGATTCGGGAAGTTATGATAGATGTTGGAGATGATTTGAACAGCAACATCCGTTTTACCCGAGCCTGGAGGACCAACAACCATAGTCAAACCTGGTTGCATTCCAGATCGGATTGCCTCAAGTTGAGTCGGAGTAAAGCGGACCGAATTCCTGGAGAATCCAGAGAAAAATGACATTCAATCCTGATTCGGACGAGAAAGTGTTTTGAAAAAACACGAACAGCTTCGGTTGGACAAAGGCGTACGGTCCACGATTCGGAATCACATGTGATTCAAACTCGATGATCTCTTTCTGCAGTTCTACCGTTCCAACAGTGTCCTTCACGTGAGGGCCAGACGAATATTGAAAGTGAAGTCTGAAAAGTTTAAAAAAGAAATATGACTAACCATATACAGGTACTGGACTCAGCACAAATGCAGAATACAAATGATTGAACAACGAAAAGCAGAAAATCACGATTATTTTGGAGCTGATATTCTTTTCATCACCTAAAAGGAGGCTTCGATTCTCTGTCCGGGAATCGCGGGACGACGGTACACCCGGGAAAACTTTCTTTCAAATGCTCGGCATCCAAGAATGTATCGTTGAAATCCAACGTTTTCAGACGATCAGGCATCCTTCAAAATTAATACAAATACGTACAATTTTTGATCGATAAATCGCAATGAAGGAAATTCACTTAGTCCAATGCGCCGCACTCGGATCACCGTAACCGAGAATGATGTCATGCAGCCAATTCGGCACCACACAATTTGTATTCATCAAACTTCGAATAGTTTCCAGAACTGCCTTAAAATTATTTTCTTTCTGTCGCCTCCGGAGAATGACGTTGAACGTTTCATAGCAATCTTCGCCTCCATTGTTGGAGACTTCCATGTCTTCACGATACTGATTGCAATCCAGCCAAACTCGGTATGTAACTTTGTCACCCGCAAGCATTGGCTTCTCGTCTGGGGAATTGTCGTCAATCAATTTGCCCTGGTCATCGATTAGTCCCTCTATCTCGCAACCTCGAACGTAAATCAACCCCACTTGCGGCACGAAAGACTCATTCCATCGATAGTAAGTCCCTGAAATTACACGGAAGATTAATTGACACAAAAACAAATTTCCTTGATTTCGAATATACAGACCTGGAGGAGCACCAGGACGAACGGTTACTAGGAAACAAATATCATGTTTCCGTAATCCCAGCCATTCTTGCTTTATATTTTGAGGCAAATCCAGAGTAACGGCCACATCCGCCCGAACACGAGCAGGCCGACGCTCTCCTATTTGTGGACTCGCGACTTCCACGATTAAGAAGGTCGAAATTGGCTGCGCCATTCGTGCCCACCCACCGAACATTACTTTTCCGTCTTCCGTTCGCCTGGGAAACAAAAAGGGAAGATAAATTAGGAAGTTATTACCTTTGAGATATTCGCGACAAAACTTACCATGGCTTCATTCTACGAATTGTGCTTTCAATGTCCTGTCTGATCTCGACTGAAAATAAATTTTATCATCAGCTCTCGCTTTGCAGACAGAAAACAATTTGAGAACTCTATTAACGTAAAAAAAAGGTAATGAAAAATAAATTATCTAAGGAACTCACAGGTAGATTCCAGGCGAAACAAATTAAAATTCCTGAGCAAGTAGTCGTGCAAAGTCAAAAACTGCAAGTTCAACTTCGGCAGCGCAAGGACGCCGTCGCCAGCAAAATACTCCGACGGAACTATGTTTTCGTCCCAGATCACTTGCTCGGTGGGATACAACGGCATTTCATTCAGTTTCTCCAACTGTGAAAGTCGTTTTTCGTGACGGGAAACCAGCATCTCCACGAGAAAATCCTTTGGATACAATGCTTCGGCTTCATCTTCCGGCATCGTATCCATAGGTATTAATGCCAAAGAGTTGGCTAGCGAATGAAGCTTATCACGCCTGGGACATATTCCATAAGATATGAAACACGAGACAATTGAGGAAAAATTACGGACTTACGACAAAGTTTCAAAAAAATGTTCCAAGGATTCACGAGAGTTTATTGCAGCAACATTCAGCAATGCAAACTTCTTCATTTCAGGGTACTTGATGAAAACTGCCCTCTGCAAAAATTAAGACATGAATAGATAGAATTTCATTCGATGACGAAATCCGTTACCTGGAGTGCAACTAGTGAAGCATAATGCAACTTCATCATATCCCGGTCTGTCAATGGATCACCCGTCGCATCATTGATTTCAAACCGCTGATAAAACCTCAACATATCCAAGAGCTTGAAATTAAAAAAATAAAATATTGAAACGTAAAATCTCGACAATAAATTGCACCAAAACTCTCACCTGCCGAAAAAGTTTTCCTTCCGGTTTTCGTACTAGGCTCGACATTGAGGAACGGATAACGATTTGCGAGTCATCCAGGACAGTATTGAAAAATCGTCTTGTTGGCAACAAATTTTCAAGATCGATTAGGAGTTCCATGAATCGTTCGCAATAATGGAGCTCTTCTTCTGGCAGTGGGGAATCTTCCTTCACGGAGAAGAGCGCTTCTTCGAAATGCGAGATCATTTTACGAAGGAAAGTTCGTTCAAAACTCAGTTTGATGAGATCGTCGGATGATCGTTTGGAATCTCGTTTTTGAATTTTTTTCCAACCCGTTTTCCATTCCGGAAATCGTTTGAATTCGAGCTCCCGCCGTCCCTGGAGAGAAATAAAATGTCTCATTTCCAGTGAAACTAAAAAAATTAGCTAACCGGCTTACTTTGTACAGTGAGGTCCACATGGGCAAGGTGACCAATTTCTGGACCTGCATGCGCAGAATTTCGTTTTCCATGCTATTGAAGCAATGATTCAAGAATAAAATCATAGCTGTAAGCTCTTTGAAGTGATTTGCACGCCTGCCTCCCAAACCCTCCTCAGGTGGGTTTTTCAGGCAGGCTTCAAGGACTTGATGAAACAAGAACTCGACATTTTCCGTATTCACTTTGAAAATCTGTAAAACATGACGATCAGTAAGATAAATCGCAGAGACAATCAAGAACAGTAACTTACATCCCAAGCTGGAACTCGTTCTCGAAATTTCTCGTTGACCATCACAATGATCGACATAAGGTGCTCATGACTAGGATTGACGGCTGGAGTGTAATTCGGCCAGAGATATCGTTCAAGATACTGACTCAGCTCCAACATCACAACTCGACGGATAGCAAACCTGTACTCACGAATAACAGTTAGTTACTCGTAATGGAACTTCGATAACAGGCAAACTCGATCACTAACCTAGAACCAAGTATATCCTTGATGTAGATGTTGTCGATCACAGCCTTCTCAAAAGGCAAGTGTTTTCCTTCCGTGTAGGGCGCCCAATACTGTTCCGCGAGCTAAAAAGACGCAAACGATGTTTTCAAAAATTCGAACAAATTTTTGATCATCAACAAAGATTTAAATCGAACAAGATGCATGAGATGAAGGATTGAACACCTGTGTTAGTCGGTCAGCGCCAATTTGATCAACGGTGGGTTGAACATGGCCGGCCTGTTGTAAAATCTGCATCTCACTGCGATGACGAATAATCTGCGCGATGAAACAATTTCACGTTAACTGCAGTTTCTCAAACCAGCGGGAGACTTCGCTAAGCCGATTCTTCGGACAAGCCGGTCACACAACGCGCAATACACTGTAGAGGTAACTGAAGGTAGGACATTGCCGCAACAGCGGCGGCTCACGAGGGCTGGTGTAGGAGGCAGGGCATACTCCCCAGGCACAGCAGATTCTTGAAGCAGCGTTTACTTTGGCAAAAAAAAAATTGAATTCCGCGGAAATCTAATTTCACACGAGGCCGGTATACAGACCGTAATGATGCCACACATTGTGTGCAAAGTTCATTATGAGGAATTAGAACATAGTAAAAACTTGTTCTGTAATGAATTCAGCTAGGATAACCTAAGTAACCTATCATGAATGTAACTATAGTTACATAAAATATTGTTCTTGTTATATTTTCTATAGAAAATATAACAAGAACAATATTTTTCCATGCTTTAACTCCTCACAATAACCTTCGCGCACATTTTGTGCCATGATGGTCTGTACATCCAAGGCCTCCTGTGAAAATAAGATTTCTGCAGAATCCATCATTTTTCCCGCCGAAGTAATCGCCGCTTCAAGAATCATCACCGCAGAATCAGCTTTCCCCTGAATTTTGTAGAATGAACCATCGCGGAACTTCACTCCGCGGATTCGAATAGTCTCACCTGATGGCATTGCACACCCTACCCAGGCAAGATACACTCCTGCAGTGGACCCTGCCCAGGCAAGGTATTCTTCTGGAGTACTTTTTTGGGGGGGGGGGGGGATGTTTTGCTGTCTACACCTGCCGTACATTGCTTGCATTACAGCACGTAGTAGCATACCTACCTTTGCTTTGCCGAAAAAAGTTAGGTGTCACCAGCAGGCAACACGAGTTAAAGACGTACCGTTTCTGCAAAATTCAGCATTTGATATGATTTTGTGCACTGCTATCTACACGTACTGCGCGACAATATTCAAACCGAAGTACAGGGAAGAACCATAATTGTTCTCATTCATAGAAACGTATCAAATGCATGACATACACTGCACAGTAATGTATTGCAGATCCCATATGTCTTCATCAAATCAGCCCGCCACAATTCCCAGTCTAATACCAGTGCTGTACTGGCTATTTTCTGCACTGTTCAGTACTTCAAAATCTGTCGAAGTACTGTCCATAGCTGTACTGTACTCATATTGTGGTGCCCGCTGAAAAATAATATTACCATACAATAATATTACCATTAATATTGCTCATTACCATGGTGCCTAAAACGTGCTGACGCATAAAATTAAAAACGAGGCACTTCCCCACCTGCCAAAGGAAGATAACATCTTATCAGAAAGGATGGACGAGAACCTGCTGGTGAATTGTTCATGGAATTCATGAAATCTTTATAAAATACTCTTGAAGTTCACTCAACTTACTCTGTATGGGGAATCATTGAATGTGCATAGGAGTATAAAATTTTAAACTTCATCAGTGCTTTTTCTCCGATCTTGTACCATCAAAGAAGCCATGATCAACTTTTTATACACGTACCCGCAATTTGAACATATAAATTCAGCTGGTCTAACAGTGTTATTGGAAGGGAACAGCAGAAGGCCTACACACTGCATGTATAGTCACGCAATACGTACCGTACTTGGACCGAGTCAGCCTGGTCATTCAGGAAGAGACGTAAAAATTGGAGTTCCAAAGTTTATTTTAACTTCAAATACAATTCCGAACTTCAATTCAGGACTCAAAGACAAGTACTAAGAAATAAAACATTTTCGAATGAAAAGTATTCTCAAGAATTTCCACTTTCAAACACGTTAACATCACATACTGTCTTTCTGGCAAGTGATGACAGGTTAGCTTCAGTAGCAATCATACGACCCTGTTACGATGCTCATGTTGCGTTCCATACCTAGTTTACATCAATTTTCGCAGCATCATAAAAAAAAAAAACGGCGACGTCGACTCTGGAAGAAAAAACCATAAAAACGAGACATTTCTTTGTACCAAGAATGCTGTACTTCCTGTATTCGTCACACACCGTGACCGATAAATATCTGGCTCGGTAAAATATCTGGATTTCGAGTATCTTTGGAGCAAGCTTCACAAATTCTGGTGCACGATTACAAAAACCACGATTCTCAACATAGAGGAATGGGACACCTCAAATCGAATCAAGGCAGCTGTTTACCATCTAACACCCGGACGGATATTTGTGCATTCGAATGTAGACTGCAACAATCCACGTCCGCATTGGAGCTTGCGGATGTATAACAGAAAATAATTTTTTCAAGCATGGTAACCATGTGCTGCTCACTTGAATTTGAAAATTCAACAAGACATCACTCGTGCAAAAACCACAACGGCGATAACCATTGCTGCTTAAAACGCACACGAAAACAGCGCCTTTAATAAATGTTACACGGAAACAAAAGTTTAGGACTGATCGCTTCGTCAGAAAAAGTGAACAGAAGATACAAAGCTAAATTTTTGGTTTTTGTGAAATGAGTGGCTTACCAACTTTTTGGAAACCCACATTAGCAATCACAAGAATTCAATAATCATTCTCTGCCCCAAACAAAGAAAAAATATTTCCGGGTATTTTTCATAACCAATTTTTCCACTCTAACCCATCACTAAGAAGGATATACTGACAGTTGACATAGTTTCGAGTTGTGTTGAGTGTTCAAAACGTAAACGAAAATTGCTTCGGTAAAACTGCATTGTATGGCACCGTCCATCTCACAGGCGATCAAACGGCCAACAGAATTAACAAAATCAACAAGAATTAAGTTTTCCTAAAAGCAACATTCAAACCCCTGTCGATGTCTGCATTGAATGAACGGAATGAATTTTGCAGCCCAACAGACATTAAACACAACGGTCAAACGTCTGCTGATTTTCGTCGAGCACCTCAATCAAATCACGATCTTCCACAAAACTTAATAAAATACACCATTCAAAATCGACTCGTTTTCAACCAGGTGAACGCGACATCCCATCACTTATACAAATTATCAGGTCTTGGTCCCATGTTCGAATGATGGAAACGCGGGTCTGAAACGACGGAGTGACGACCGTGCGAACTGCGGGGCTGATGCGACAACACGTCAAAGCTTCTGCGACGAGAAACGGCCGACGACTCTGAACAATACATCATGCGAAGACGGACACAGTCAGCACTGGGGTATGAAGTTTGCCATGACAAAAACATGTCTATAATAATCCTTCACCGAAGAAATGATCCAACATTTTTCTCCAAAAACGTCGGCAACTACAGCAGAATTACGCAACTCTCTAGATCACGAAGTACCTCATCCAAAAATCAATGTCGTTAGTATTCAACGCCAACACCACAAGTATTCGGCGAAACCATAATAAAAAAAGAAAACTGTAATGCGATGCTTTTAAATACAATAAAAGATGATATTCTACACAAGTCTACGAAGAGTACACGTTCAAAGTGAGAAAGATTGACAACATTCATTATCCTTTTGAATAGGTCTGGGCTTTTCAACCTCCGTGTATTAACTGGCCCTACAGAAACTGAGGATGATATAGTTTTAATTGTTGGTTTTTTTTTTTTTTCAACAAAAGATAGCCCCGGACAATGAAACCATTAGGTCCCTGAATTCAGACGAAGATCACGGGTGGGATCTATACGGCTCGGTTTAATTTATAGTGAAATTGCTCACGGTTTTGTGACATGCTTACTATACAACATTCAAATTTTATCTTTTTGGAGTCTCAAAATCCTTCGTTGATCTTCCGAACTTTTTACTGTCCATTCGATTTTTTTTCTCGATTCGCAGTGATTTACATATACTGTACTGTACTTCTCGTATTACATAAATTAAGCAATCTTTGGAATGGTTCCCTGTATCCAAGGAGAATCTCGATTGAAGTCCGACAAATGCCCGCCAACACCGGTAGAAAAGCCCTGAACTAGCATCATTCGATACACTAAAAGGCATCCAAATATCACAAAAATAGAAAATTAATGTAACGCCACCTCACGTCTGATGTTCACGAAAAAACCTCACAGCGTATGACACACATTCAACAATATTCTAAAACTTAGGCTCTTGGCAAAATAAAATAAAATACTCCCAGAATAATATTTAAAAATCAGTCTGGGTTGCTCAAATTTGCAGATTGGAGGACTCTGGCATCGAACTGAAGAGTGCCTTACCCAAAAATATAGACACGAATCCCTCGCATGTGACGGAAGACGATACGACGAAAGAAGGTGTTAGGTTAGCTCGTGCTTTGTGAAGTGACAGGAAGAAGCTAAAAGTGCGTGACCAATGATTCTACTTGTAGAATTTGGGACTGTTAGGTGGACTGCTGTTATTGTCAGTCGAATGCAGACCGCCCTTGGCAAGCAAACCGCGCCTCGGGGGACGTCCTGGTCCACTTCGCAACACTTCCATTAAAGCACTACCTCCGTCAGCAGATCCTCCACTGGCGCCGCGGCCACTCTTACGCTCTGGCGCGGCTATTACTGACGACGAAGACCCTGGATTGATCCCGCTCGAAAAAGAAGATGCGTCGCTCGCGGGGAAGTTCGGGCAGTACGTTTGCGCTGAAAAATCTTCAAAACTTGTCCTTTGGATATAATTGTTGAACACACCTTCCAAACTTCTCGCTCTTTCGACGAAGCTGAAAAAAGTTCGATCAGATTGAGAACGCAATAACCCAGAATGAACGCAAATTCTGACTCGAAGGATAAAAAAAAATTTTAACGTCAGAATGGATACCTCACAGTTTTAATCTACTGTAATCTCACCGCTGGCAATAGTAAAGAAACTAAACACGAAGTGCTCTTCGAAAATAAAAACCCTGAATATTAGCATCTGCAGCAAATTGGTAGCAAACTCCGAAAGTTCATTGCGTTAACTCACAAATTCGCGAAATGAGGAAGGGTTGACCGTTTTGCTCGAGAAGCATTTATCGCAGTCGCACGAACCAAGCCAGGTAACGTTCGGTAGTCAACAATCGCTCCATCGAAGAGTGGTCCAAAGAAAGGCACCTAAAAATCAAACATTACCTCGTGAAAACGAAATGCAGTGCGTTAAGCGTGGCTGAAACGTACATCTGATTTTCTATCAACTCGGATACGATAAAGCCGCCCAGCAAGGGGGTAAATCACGATCAGGACGTCACAGAACTCCGTTGGGAAGATTCCACGATGATAATCTCTTGTATGCTCTGACCAAACGATGTGTACCTCGTCGTTGCCCAAATGTCTCGTCTGAAGAATAACTTGTATTAGAATTGATGATTCTTGAAAAAAATAAATAATAAAACTATACTGCGAAAGGCTTAAATATTTCCACATAAAGAATAAGAGAAAATAAAACTCAATAAACCGAGATTTTAAAGCAAAATCTAGTTGGTGAAGTTGAACATATTTTTAGTAAGGGCATGTTTTGATCACCTTCATATGCAAAGCATCATCCGAGTTGGACGGCATCCTTGTGGCCACATGAAATATAACTTCATTTAAGGAAGTGGAAAAATATGGAGCAGTTTCTCCAGCAGTCGCGATAGAACCTCTCCCGCGCCCGGAGGACGATCCCAGATCTCCCGAATTAGACATTGACGACGAGTCACACGAAGGGTTCGAGGACGATGAATTTGACGATTTTGAGTAGTGTAAACCTCCCAGGAAACCGACATGATTCTCAAGCTCCACTTCCCATGCGAGTCCAGCGACGAACTCTTCGTAATCTTGGCTTCCACCAACATTGCATAATATTGATCGCTTATCTTCTTGCCCTTTCCCCACATAAATGATGGCGATTTTGTGTTTGTCTCGGCATCTCTACGACGAAAGGAAAGCGATTTCAAACTTGGTCCAAGTTCCAACAGTTTCTCGTTTTTGCTATTCAGACACGTTAACAACATACAACGGTTTCGAGAGGAAATTTCATAACAATTTTCTTGAATGTTTTCTGTCCCTCGGAATTTTTCAAACATTATAACGTCCCCTCGCGCACATCATCCATCACTGAAATTTTAAAGATGGCATAATGATGCTATCTTATAACGTCAAAAAACTGGGTTTTCACGACGTAATAACTTTCCGTCACCCTATGCATAACCAGAATGTCTCGAAGTAGTCTAACCTGTTGGTCTAGGTTCTTAATTTCCAGTAGTAAACGATCGGTCTTCTTCAACAATTGTACATGCGGCCTACGATGCCATGAGGCCCAACCAAGCTGCGATAACAAAAAGCAGGACAACTGGAAGGGGTTTGAAGATGCAGCAATGCGATCTTCATCGGTGACATCAGAGCTCGCACTTCCTGCGGAAAACGTGTTCGGTACCGAGGCGGACGCCGGCGCTGCTGTCTGAGTACGATCTTCAGAAAATCGGGAAGCGAAGTCCAAGACTAGAGTCCGCTGATCAAGAACCGCAGTTACGGCCTCCTCTTCACGATCCCCGGTCAGAAATGAGGGAAGAGGCTCTGGGTAATTAAGCGCTTCTACGTAACGGGGAACGCACTCTGGACTCGTTTTACCGATGTGGGATAGCAGCTGCAAACACGAGATTTCAAAAATATAATTTTAGAGATTCAAACCCACAGGTAAATTTAAAAAAACTAACGCGACATCGACATGTTCAATAGAGATAAAATCAATACTTTTACAAAATTCAAGAAAAAGTGTGCTGCTATTTAAAAAAAAAAAAAAAAAAAAAAAAAAAAACTTGCCTCGTCCAATAAATCCACGTCTTGAACATTTCCTTCTTTGTAAATTTGAGAAGCACGTTGAGGCGACAGTGGAATGCGTCCAGATGATCCTTTCCCGGACATTCCAAAGACTATACCGGAATCCTGGTTACCGCTTGGACTTGGACTTCGCTCACTTTCCGCAGATACACAATCTCCACGCCCCAAAACTCTATGGTCCTCTGACACCCCACCCCCAGAAGCCCTGAATACTACATTTGCATCCCAGCAGGTCTTGCCTCCCAAGTGACGGGCGATAAACCTCACTTGCGACGGAGGAGTCAAGACTGGACCCGTGAACGAAGGATCATTGCTAGCCGCATTCGGAAGTTGAACCATCGACACCAATGCAGCATTGTTTACAGCAAAAAACTGTACGTTCGGTGCAGAGAATGTATCCATGGATACATCTCCGCCACAACCAAAATTTGGTTGGAATCCCGGCGGAAACAAAGCTCCATCATCTGGTTCCATGACCAAAGAACCTAAGTGTGCCGCTCCAAGTCCAAGGGGGAAATGCCACAAATGCTGCACCAAGTGATCCATAATCCCGCGGGCAGCGAGTCTGATATGTGCTGCAACTTCTGCGGAATCGGCTTGAACTGAAGCACTGAATGTTTGGGCGGTTCCGCTGGTCTTCCCCGGCACTGGCTTTGATCGCGACCAGGCTGTTCCTCGCATATCATCCACTGATACTGACGGCAAAAACGTGTCGGAACTCCCAGACGTTTCCGACGATGAAGGAGGAGGCGGAGGAGCCCTTCCAGCTTTTCCAGGCGGAGAAGTGTTTGTGTGAGCTCGAGGTCGACCATCTATCATTCTGTCAAGCGTCTGGTGGTCAGAAATTCAAAAAATGTAAGGACAAATTAGGAAATTACTGAACAATCGTTCCGCCGTAAAATTTACGGAATATATCAAGGGAAGTTTTGCTTAAAATTAAACAAGCACATCTGCGCAGCCGTATTCAGCCATAAGAAATTTACCTTAAAAATGAGTTTAAGCAGTGGAAGGCCTCCTTGAGGAGAGGCTTCAACAAGACTGCTGGGCTCCAAACTCATTGCCCACTCTCCCATCGTGAGCAGAAGAGAAATGACCAAATGTTCATCGGAACTTGTTAGATCAACTCCATTGGCAACGGGCACAGCGACAGCTTCAATGCTGTTACACAGGGCCTAGGCATAGAAAATAATACTGTATACAGAATTATCGCAACTTAATTCAACAAAAAGTTTTACCTCTATGATTTTCCGCACGACGTCAGGGAACAGTGACCAAAGCACGGCTGAATGATCACAGAAGAGAAGCGTAAGATCGGCAGCCAGTTGTATGACAGATTTCTGCTGAAACTGCAGATCAAGTGCAAACTTTAGCCTATACGAACGTACTTGACAACAAAAGGCGTCATCCCAAAGAAAACTTGAACACCGAAAGGGTCTGAACAGACTAATACAGTGACGCAGATCGGGCACAATATTATAAGCTAAAAGCCAAATTTCCATTGTTTCATGCAATGCATTCGCCCTATTCAACGCGGATCAGTGAGAAATGAATACTACTCGGAAAACCGAGTGCTGGAATTCAGGCATGGTATTTGATATTTTCTGTATAAAAATATCCAAAACCACGACGGAAACCTTCACGAACCGACCGCCTCAACAAAGAGCAAACCCAACGAACAAACTCCCCAGAATCCGACCAACCCCAACAAAGCATAACCTACGGTACACACTCGCATAATCCGCCGACCCTTTCTGTGCAACACTGTGTGGAAATATAGCACATGGGACACGGCTATGACGATTACAACACACACAGGTGAGCACGTGCCATCAAATAGCATAGATAATTTCTTTTTTCGAAAGTCTCAGGAATACCTGTCGAGAAAAAGAAGCCGCACCTTGCCTCATCTCAAAGGAGCAATGTCCAGGAGAAGAACTCGTCTACAACAAGGAGAGAGCCCATCAGCCCACCAATAAACATTAACAGAATGATACAAGCGCCAACTTCTTTCAGCCGTCCCCTATTTTTGAAAGCTTTAAATTAATAAAATCTACTAAGATCTATACATCGAACTGTGAGTGGACATGCTTCACGAGATCAATTGAATCAAGATCTCATTTTCCAACACGTTGATGAGAACACTTACTTTCAAAGATTGCAGAATCACATACAAGGCATCCCGAATCTTCCCATATATCTTGCTGGGTGCTTCGGGAGTATAATGTGTCAGTTCTTCATAGACGAAGATACCCAACGCACATAGAGAAATTCCTCTTGCCATACCCGAAGGTTCTCGACGCCCGGCTTTCAAGAGTATGCTGATCACTCGATCCTGGACGACAAATATGATAATGCTAAATATGCAAAGAATTTCGTGGTTAATTAATTTTTTTAAATTACGTTCTTTAAGCAAATAAATATCAAGGATCTGACGCGGGCGAACAAAAGATAGAAAAAAAAATTAATCATATGTGGAGACAACAAACCTTAACATCCGAAAGACACATGCTCTCGAATTGCCCTGCATTCGGTTGCAGTGCTGGAAGATCGGTAACTACTCTCAGACAGCAAACAAGGGAGCCAATCAACGTCACCGCTTCATGTCTCGGCATCTTCAAAAAATTGTCAGGCTGATACTTATGATTACAGAATAACAATTCTCAACTCACGCCATGAGTTTTATTGGACGAAATTATGGAGTCAGCAGCAAAGATGAAATCGAGGAGTAAAAGCGTATGTCCAGGTAGTGTGATGCTCCAATAGCACGCTCCGCATTGCTTCACGATTTGATTGATAATATCCTGCGGTTCGCAAGAAGAATGACACATCTCAGAATTACAAGAACGTGAACGTGCATGCAAAAAAGCATCTTCAACTCAATTTTTTTGTTCAAGTATGTCTACTCAACTTTGAATGAAAAATAAAAAATCACCTCTTCTTTCCCAACGAGTCCCAGGTGCATTACTCTATAAAAATGGATCAAAACGTCCCGAGGTATAGGAAGCACATCTGGCCGGCGGATAACGGTTTTGCACAATATTTCATAAGACAAGATTCTTGCTGGGCGGTATTTTATTTCTTCCAAGTCGATGGCCTGCCAGAAAGTTAAAAAAAACGGAATATAATAAACGAAACACACAAAAATACAAGCGAAGTCGTCAAGCGTACCTGAATACACCACGGGGTTACGAGGAGCAATGGGGGAACCAAGGGAGGCGGTGGAGGGGTCGACTGCTTATCTTCCGAAACCCCGAGATTTTCCCTCATCTGCATCAGCATTTAAATTCGAGTGTTTTTTTAATTGGAACACACATTCAAGCCGAATGCGACGATTACCTTCACTAATGTGTCCACCGTTTCCACCAGAGTCACAAAAACTCTGTGGAGTAAGTTAGGGACAGGGATCATAGTTACATTGCCCATACAACCCAACATTCTTTTCCATAGCATCATAGTGGAGTCGGGGGTCCACCCAGAAATCGTGCCACCCGCCATCACAGAACGTGACTCGGAACAGGCCGACATCATACATTGTGCTCCTGAAGATCCGTAACTTAATCCATCCTCTCCACATTCACTCGCAGCATCTAACGAAGTAAGTTAGAACAACGCATAAATATGTGGGAATGTATGTTCGATGCAGTTCCAGGTTATAAGCAGATGCCGCAGAACAGAATCTGTAAATGTTTTACTTCTCTCAAGTACTGTTCATAAATTAATGCATGAAACCAATCTCGTGGTTATACAGTAAGTAATTCCAAACGTGAAATTTCATCACGCACATTCATAACGAAGATTCACTGTTTAATAGACGAGGTAGAGGATACGTTAATTAGAAAAGGTCACTAAGTTCTTTCATTTTATGAAAAAAAAAATAATAATTTGTCAGCGTTTTCGCATTAAATTCATGTTTCATCGCGGTTTGAACCAGAGACTATTCCACGCATAAATCCTGCTCGCAGAAGGTACCTCATTGTAGTATAAAGGCAAAATGGGGGGAAAATAATCAAAATATCATCCAGGACATTTAAATTACCGAATGAAACCATCTCGTATTGAATGTAAATACGGCATATAAATCAATATTTCAAATTTTACGGACTTCGCAGACTTACCATCACCGCGGCCATAAATATCCAACTGCAGGGTCTCTTTCAATGATGCAGAATCGACACCGGATGACGGAGATGGAGACAATGTCCTGCTTGTGATAGTTTCTTCGTATCCAACACTGCTAGGGTTGTCACAAATACGAAAGGATTCAGCGGAGCGAGATTTTTTGTCCAACAATGGCATCGCTGAAATATTCCAGACACTCTGAACATCCTTTTCATGCAGAATTTGAGAATCTCTATTTAAACTAACAACCGACGAACACACAAGTTGGCAGAGATTAACTTACGCATCAAACACCAATCATGAGGGTCTCCACAGCTAAGCCGGTAGATGATATTGGATTCACTGTAACTCCGTTTAATTTTCTGCAGGTCCTTCACGGGAAGATATCCATGTGACGACTGTCCCCCACGGGAAGATGACTGACGATGGTGATGATTTCCTCCATTAACGCCGTGAACGTTGAACTGAGTTGAGCTTGTGCCAGATGCAACATGTTTGTGCTGGTCACCGCTGCTGTTATCACCCAAACTGGTTCGTCTGGCATTTACTGATGAACAAGCACACACACGATACATGTACTGTATCACGAAAATGCGTTGAAGACGATGAAAAAGGCAATCTTCCATTTTACAGTAGATACACCAAACATACATCACAAAAATGAGTTGAAGGTGAAAATATGAAATACTTTTCCATTCTACAGTAGATCTAATCTTATGATATGTCATTCAGAAATATAAACCTATGTAGACTTAATAACTGTAATTAAAAAAAGGGCATGGGAACGGGATAGAAATTTATGGAAACTTCATCGCGTATATTTTCCATTCTCATCATAATTTTATACCACACTATAAGTATGTATACGTTTCAGGCGATGAGTAGACCTGCATGTTTTCCATTAGAACGAGTCGATAGGCTCAACAGCTTACCACGCGTTGCATAGGAAGTTGGGACAGGATTTGGAACTGATGGCCGAGAATTCGCCTGCTGGCCACCGCCACTCGATTTGAAAGATTTCGAGGTCTGCCCTCTTCTTATGATTCGTTTCCTGGTGGTCATTGCCGTCATTCTATCCAATGGAAGATCACCAAGATCCAAGCCGTACACATACCGCGCCATCACTCGCGTCAAGGTTTCCATTGTTTTCTACAGATCAATGAAACTGTGGGAATGTTTCAGCGAACGGCAAAACAACGCTTACCCCCCATTCAACTATCAGTTCTTCCCACTCCACCAATGATGATAAGATATGCAGTAACTGATCCCATAATTCCGAGGATACCGCCACGTGCAAACTCGCCCGAATCCACGTAACGATCAAAGTCTGAAAAATAATCAATTCAATTCTTTCGACTCGCATATGTTGATATGCGAGTCGAAAAAGTGTTGATAAAGCCTGTACCTTTCCTTGGTCAAGTCAGAATAATATGAAAAATTAGTAACTGACTCTTGGCTATCGGAAAACATCACTTTTGGATTCATTCACTTGTGAACTTGTGAAACTTCGATAGTTCACCAATAAAAGGAATGATCCGGAATGGCGTACGTGAGAGCTAAGGGCCTCTACAGTACCTGAAAAAGAGGAGCAGCAAGACGCCCTCCTAACGTCTCCTTTCTAAACTGAGGTGGTCGTTCCCGTAAGCACGTAGAAACAATTTGAAGAAGTATCAGCAGAAATTGCTCCCTGTATTGAATGAAAAATATTAGGAAAAAATGAGAGAAAGAAAGAAGGCACACTTACCAAGTTTGAGACGACATAACGGTGTTCATAACAGTATATCGGTAGATGTTGAGAACTCTTTTACAGACATCAACCTGGTCTTCCAGAAGATCCCCAGTGATTTCATCCGGTAATTCGGTCATAAAAACCGCCGAAGAGTGCGTCAAAAAAACTTGAAGAGTATTCTGTGGGAGATGCACAAAATCATAAATTTATTCCCTATCCCCAGTGACCAGAAACTAAAGAATAGAGTGAATAATGTGCAATCTACAGAAAAACTGAATAAAATCGGTGATTTTTTGAAGAAAGGCGGCACTGCAAGAAAAAAAAATTTCACGGCAAAAATACATTAAGCACAAACAGCACCTGGTCAATCATAAGTTCATCAATCCTGGGATCCTCCGGCTTTAAATTGAACCCTTGAACTCCTCGAAAATTCTCCCAAGCAGTATTCTCCAACTGCATTTTAGTAACAATCATGCAAAGGTAACTTTTGCCTACAACTCATTTGGTAAACAAAATTTAGGGCGAAAATATCGCACTAAATACTCGGACAAAATATCGTACGATCACTTTCGTTTCTTGAATGCCTTACCTGCAAACCAGCTCGAATATCAGTAAAATCCTGGGTCAAGGCTGCAACATAAGAATTTGTTCGAAGACGGCCACCTGACTGTTGCTCCAATTCAAGCCGCTATCAATAAAAAAAAGATCCCGCTTATTTAGGATAAAATACGGTTTAAAGAACTAAGCAAGAACACCTGAATCATGAGAAAGCTAGAAAGAAACGAAACACGAAGAAAATTGCGAAGACTGAAAATTCCCAGGAAAAGTTCCAACAAAATATGGACGGAATGAAGCCAAATGGTGCTATGTTTTCAAACTGAACAAGGCTTGTGTATCAAATGAGGACCTATTGAAGTTGTGCAAGTTTTGAAGAACAGGAAGTAGAGCGGGAACAACATTCGCCAATGATCGTGGATTGAGGCTACAGTTCTCAATACCCAAGAGAATGAAGCAAACACAGAACCATAACATGACTACAAAGCGTTTCATGTTTCCTAAAAATCCGAAGTACGGTATTTCTACGTCGGGTCTCCAACACACGAGAATCCTTTCATGCCCAACAATTGAAACCACCAAGTCACAAAACTTTCTGTGCAAAAAAGAGAAGTACAGTACCTCAAGCTTATTACCCATGAATTTTATATTCAGTGTTCGCAAGAGAGAAAACTATTCAACAGTGCGATATCTTTCTCGGAACTCCATTCCCCAACAATCCCTCATTTTCGAGGTCTAACATTCTTAGCATTTCGGAAACGTTGAATAATTACCCTCGCATTAATATTCAGATGGAAAAATCATGCATAAAATAATCTTGTCACATGCACGCAAAGGTCAATTGATTCAGACTCACACTTTGACGAGAAGCTCTGTCACTAACAACAGGCTCCAGGATAAAAGGCGGATTGTCCTAAAGATCGCAGCAAAAAATAAATAGTAACCAAATTGATCAAGAAATCTAAAACAGAGGAATCATAAACAATAAAACGAACAAGAATCACCAGCACAGATACAATATCAGATTCAACACCCTTTAAGCTGCGCCATGATAAGCAAAAAAACCCAGAAGAAAATCTGCTGAACGACGATAGGACGAATACTCACAAATCGCGTTATCCAATCGCGATATATTGAAACAACGACGCGTACGGCAGCAACGTGTACGGGCGATAGCAAAAACGCCTGACGGAAGATCTCGTGCACAAGGTTCACGTTGTCACGAGAAGAATACAACGTTTCCCGCACAATTAAGTGACTCCAGCTTCGATGTTCCTCTCTGTAATAATAAACAGCGAATATACAGTATATCAAAAATTTTTAAAAAACAGCAACATAAATGGACTTTACTGGAGCTTGCTCCCGAAAACCGTCGCCAATAAACCCGGCAGTCCCAAATATCAGAATTAATTCATTTTGTTAATTAAGTCGGTTTGAAAGTAATTTAAAGAGCTCGATTGTCTCCATATTTTAAGATAGTTTTTCCACTCACGATAAAGACGAAGGGTTTCCGTTCCCGGAGTCTACAGAGACGAAAGTTCCTGAGGATGTAGAGCGTCCTGTCACGGAACCTCCTACAGATGCTCCTGACGCAACTGACGGAGCCCTCATCTGCAATACTTGACCATGCTCCGAATCTTCCATGGCCATGCTCTCCCTACCTTGTCCGAACCCATCACCCACAAGACGCATACCTCTCCTACATAGAGATCATTGCAAAAGTTAATAACATTAGTGCATCAACTCATGACCACAAATTCAGACAGACCCAGCGTGTGAAGCAGAGCTACCAGAAGTTATGGAACCCGGTGGGATAAGATCGTTCACGTTTTCCAACGGAGCAACGTAGTTCGCGATCCACTTGATTATGTGAACTTGCAGCTGCTCCAAGTATTCACCCAAATGATCCCCATTCTCTGTTCCATAGGGATCATGTCTTGTTCTATTGCTGTTCCACAGTTGCCGTGGCTCTGGAATATCTTCATAGAAGTGGATGAACAATGTCAATCATGTGTACAAGTTAATGCACGCTGTTCTCACCATTGCTCGGATTGTATATATCGCAGGCAGTTGAGAAAGTAGGAAATATTTTCATCAGGTACGTTTTTTTGAATTGATCAAAAACGAAGTTGAATGACTCCCACCAATGAGTATCACGATTTTCCTTCCACATCACTTTCGTCATCTGAAATATTAAACGAAACAGTTTCTCAATGTATCGTTATTACGCATTCGGTAAAATTAGTAAACCTCAATTCAATTTTACTGAGGTATTAAACGAAACGGTTTCTCAATGTATCGTTACTACGCATTCGGTAAAATTAGTAAACCTCAATTCAATATTACTGAAGTGTGACAACAGTATTCCATCAATTCAGAGGTACCCTGCAATCGGTCTTAAACGACTGCCAAGCTTTCAACTGATCATAAATTGCAGTTTCCCATAAAATTTACAGCAAAAAATTAATTAAACTGTTGGAAAGCAAGAAAAAATAGGGGGTTTTTGAAGTCTAATGGTCACTATATCGTATCTCCAGTACTATACACAAAACACGGTATATAATTATGATTATTGTAGGTAATTCAGACGGAAAGTCCTTCATTTCTGCTTCGCTTTTCACAAGGCCAAAGGGGGTAGAAAAATTGTTGAAGTGCTGAAGTTCGAGAGCGCTACAGGTTAACATGAAAAAAATTGATTTAAAATTATTCCACATTCCCTTCTGTTGACACTCAAGAATGAGTACGGAAGCGAAGGACAGTTTAGTGAAGTCAGAATGGAATTTTCATTCCTTATTCGTACAGGCCGCGGACAGAAAAAAATAATGAAGGCTTAAAAATGCCTAAAAATTGGTTTATGGCGGAAATTACATCGGAATTTAGGGAAGAATGCTTCCACCAGCGGGAGAAGAGTACAGTATTTGAAAAATGTTTGCAGGAAATGGTGAAAGAATCAAAAGATTAACCTGACCGAGTACCTGTTAGTTTCCAAAAACTGTAAAAAATATACGTACAGTACTGTACATACTTCATGCATAAAAACCCTGAACATATTTGTTGGACTGGGTTACTTATGGCAAGGACAACAAGCCATTTGAAAAAACTCAAAATTTCGCGGGGAAAAAATTGAATAAAATTCGTGTGATTAACGGCAGGACAACTAATGCTTTGGCATCACCGCCCATTTCTGAAAATCGAGTTCACATCCAGGAATTACCTCTGAAACCATGAAATGCAGGACGAACTCCAACAGCAAGGGCACCGTATCTACAGCTTGAGACTCCGCAGACTGTGATGGCAAAACTGGTTGCAGGTCACTGCAAGCCATTAAAGCTGAAATAAGATTTCAACTTCAGGCATTGGTCAACTTGAAACCATAAAATGAGTTACATGACTTAAAAGAACCTGAAATAGGTTGCGTCAGGGGGCTGATATTAATGCCGAAGGGGCTCTGATACGAAAAACCAGGTATCAAAGTCGCAAACGTGGCATGATGAACTTCCTCAGCTGAATCTCCGAGAACTTGATAATAGAGTATGAAAAGTCTGAAGAAAAAACAATAATATCAAAAGTAACCAGTGGATATATTTTTTAGGTATTTATACCTGATGGCTTCCTTTCGTAAACGCATCACATTTCCCGGATGCAACAACCTTGAGAGCACTGAATCTAGCTTTTTCATCTGCCATTGGCTCTGAATCATCTCCGGCATGAAACATAACAACTTTTCCAATAGCAGTAGAACCACTTCGAACTCTTCCTTATGTTGCCGGGGAACTGGAACGAAAATGGTTCGAATAAGATAAGAAATACGCCTCGTTTCTTCGGAAGACGCACTTTTATCCTTCAGTTTGAAGTTCGCTTCCGACTGAAGAAATCCCTCCAAAAACAAGGCGAACACCGTCGTGTGGTGCGCATAAATTAACGATTGCAGTTCATTTGCGTCAGTATTTTCTGTGAATAGAAAAATACAGAGCGATTATTTCATAATTTTCCGCCATAACGTGACAGAAGAGATTACCTAAGGAGTACTTCAAATGCTTCAAGCGTGTCGAGAGGTTCTTTTTGGTGTCCAAAGCCTTTAGAATCGACTTTGATTTGTCTTCCTGGGGTTTTTTCAGAGAAAATACGTTCATTTTGAAGGATTACCCAAGTAATCTAGGACTGGTAACACCTCTGAAGTAAGTTCTCGGAAAAAAAAAGGGCTCACATCACGACGCGCACCTAGATTCTTGCACTTCACTTCAGATAAATGGTCGACATCTTCGACAGAAAAAAAAAGCTTGAGATGATTATGAAACGCCAAACGTGCAGATTTTCAACCGGCAAAAAAACCTATTCTTTCCGATTGTTTTCGGAATAATCAGCAGTCAAAAGAGGTTATCAAAACCAGAACAGTTCACGAAAAAAATAAGTTGGAAACAATTTTAGTTGATAGCCAAAGCATTCAAGGTGTCGGCTTCAGTTTGTTGAATTTCATGCGACAGCTGCGTTTGAAGATCCGAGAGTTTCCGCTTCAAAGCAGCCAAACCGCCAAGAACGATATTATGTGGACGAAGCGCTCCGCTGCTTTCGACTGTGTAGTAAAACTTGTTGGGCTTCGCATCCGGTAAATAAGGTGCCTCATCTGGAGGAAATTCATCTTTACTTGACGAGTTCCAACAAATATTCAGTCGATAACTCACATTGATCATCGTCCAATTCACTGAACTCAGATTTCGGCCATTCATCCGGTTTAGGATACAAGGTATGTCTCAAAGCATTATCCGGATCATACTCGAAAGCAACTGCTGCTGTAGGATTCCATTTCGCGTGCTCTTTTCCGAAGCCTTTTTTTGCGTAGGCCTTCAGCTTGAGCTCTTGTCCTTTACGCAATTTCACGATGAGAATATCTGGAAGGAAACACAGACGAATAGATGAAGAAATCAACTTCTGATCCGGCGATATTTACCTTCGGTGTCGGCGTACTCGTTGGCATCATCATCACGCCGACGAGAAGTGAAGGGAACAACGGCTCCTTCACTACTCCTCAAATCCGCGGTGGTAACTAACTTCGTTTGGTCGTCGTTACACTTGACGTCTAAAGTGAATTCCACTCCACAATCCTCACAAAAATCTGGGCAGTGACAATCCTGAGCGAATAAATGTATGTTGAGTGCAGTTCAACGAGGAATACGATTTACTGGCTTACCCGCGAATACTGCTTGCGCTCCACTACCTCGTCCGACGTGAGAGGGATTAAGCCCAAGCGGTGTGCAATGAATTCGTCACCAAGTACAGTTGAATTGGACTCAATTTGAACCCAATCGATGGCCATGGTCGGCGTTTCCGCATGCAGAACGCGGCGCACGGAGTTTGCCACACTAAACACATTTCAAAACTAGTCTTGACGAATTCGTCGGATACGACATAATACTGCAGAATTGGTTTCATCAAGATATTTACCTCAAGTCGGTATCCCACACGGCGAACTTGACTGAATCTTCCGTAATCTCCGTAATGCTGATCGAAGGCTGATTCGCGAACGGCATGGTTTCTGTTGGTGAAACACAGCTGGATAAAAAAAAGGAGTCGCAGTGTAACTACTCCGAAGGGAACTGAAATTCTTTCCGCGGATCACGCCTAACCTAGTCAACAGCCAAGACGGCACAACTTCATAATGAAATGCCCATGAATCCCCAGTTTTCGAATCCTATCTTGCAACAGGCGAACGAGACACCTTAGCCTTTCACACAACGAGCCCACTTCTGTACAGTACTGTACTACACTTTTGTGCATCCCACTCACACGGGCCAACCGGAAATCTCTTTAGCTAGCGTCTATGCTCTTCTTGTCTTGCGCCATTCCTTTAGAACTGTCATGTCCGCCTACCTGTGAGAGTTTTCATGCAATTCGCAGCAAGAGTTGAAGCTCACCGACGAGGAAATCAGAGTAGACGAAAATTTCCCAGCCCAATTGTACGGGTAGAAGTGAAGTATTGGTGGTTGAATTCGCTGTGGCAGTCTGCTCGTAAACTCGGGTTCATTCAATGATGTACTATTGTGCGAAATTGTAGTCTCACGCCCATTTTCGTAATCCAATCGCATTTTAATTTATAAAATTATTCAAGTTCTTCTATCATGATCCGAAGTGAGGTAGTTCACGGAGATGAGTTGCACGAAGGCGTCTGTCTGAAAGTTGGATTGAGTGGCTGAGAAATCGTTTATGAAAGCTTCGCATTCGTTGATCACTTGAACGTTGTCGGTGAATAACGCATGTCTGCTCTCTTGGATTTGGGTCAGTGCCAAGATATATTTCGAATCCTCAGTTCAATGTACTGTATTCGATATGTGCAAACTAGTGCCGAATCTCAAACCATCGGTAGTCTTGATTCAATTGTTCGAGAAATATTTCTAGGAGGAAGATGAAGTTCTAGTAGGAGTCAATGCAGTTACTGTACTTCGATATCATCCGTTCGCGGGGCCTGTATATTCTGGAGCTCCGAAATAAACTTGAATGAATGAGGAATAGACACGACATTAACGTTTAAGCAATATAATTGTTCGCTGCTATTCTTCATGTTCCCGATGCCGTTGTACGAATCATCACGTGATCACGACTTCTTATTAAAAAAAGCGAATCTCTTTCAAATTGTGATCCCTGATGTTTAATGCGCGACCAAAAGTGTCATTTGTTAAGGATTTGCCGCTCTGTTTGCCGCAGACTTCATAAGGTTCCACTTTACAAATTGCAGAAGACTTCTATTTATCCCGTTTTACCGAAGACCGTGTTGCGGAATCCGCGAAATCGTGTTTCATTATGCTGTCGAGGTTCGCTTTGAACTCGTGTAAGTCTTCGTTGCGCTTACTTCGATGCATGTGAAAGGGTTTCATGATTCTGGTAGCTGTTTTATTAGCAATCTACATCTTGCCAAAATCGGATGTGATTGATCATTGTTACATTTTCGTCATGGTCCCTCATGAAGAATGCTGAAAATTCAGTTTTAATTACTTGGGAATCCATCCGCGCATTCCTACGAAATATTGTCGCTGTATCTGCTTCTGAGTAACATTGTTTACCGTGGTTTAGCCCTTCCTCGGGTGACCTGCATCCGCACTTGTGCTGTTGCGAATACTGGAGACTCCGGCGTTGAGCGATTGATACCCGCTCCTACGTATCCAAGCAAGAAAGCTGAACAGTCGCCGGAGCGTGACACCAAGAACTTCCCAAGGGTTAAAAGACCAGATGAGCCCGGCAAGTGCCGGCTGTTCTTCATTCCGGAAGAGTACTTCCAGTTTTTCTATCCGAAAACTGGCGTTACTGGTAAGCATCTATGGGTTCTAAGCCTTCAAAATTTATGGAACTCTGCTTAACAGAAAAAAATTGCTGTGGCAGCGGGATTTTGTGGGCTGACGAATTCAGCATAATGGGTTCATTATTCTAAAAAATTTAAATGATTGTGTTGTGTATTGTAGTTCGAATTATGTGTTGTATTTCACTCCGATTTTAAATCCTTATCAACAAATTTTTAGGTCCCTACGTATTCGGTGCTGGCCTGATGACTTATCTGTTCAGCAAGGAAATCATGGTGTGCGAGCATGAATACTACGCAGGATTAACCTTTGCTCTCGTCATCTATATGGGAATAAAGTTAGCCGGGCCCGAGCTGCAGACTGCCATCAATAATGGAGTGAAGGTGATTTCTCAAGCTTTTCTCTGTTGTAGTCCCGTTCTTGCATTTTGCGATTAGGATTTATGCGAAGTGTTCTATCTGTGTCTTATTTTCTTTTTGAATTTCTACGCCCTTCGGGGACAGAAGGTGTTTGAATTGTTTTCACTATTGGAAGCGGGACTTCCTTTTTAATGATCGGTATTTTCTTTGTGGATCCCCATCTTGTTGAAATCTTTTAATTCTTTTACTTTTCACGAGTGGGAGACCACCTCAGGAAATGTATGCATGCGTTGTTTCCTGTCAGTTTGTGTGCGTGTTTGAGTGATTTTCGATCAGGTGGTAGATTGAATGCGTCTGATGAATTTCTTGGAAATTTTCGAATGGTTGAAAGCTTGAAACTTATATCGCGTCTTCACGAGTTTTCTTTGTTGGAGGAAGGTCGTGTCCTAGCAAATTCTGTACGATACGCCAACTTTTCTGCTTATGAATTACCGTAATTTGTAAAAATGCTTGAATTTTGTTCAGGATGTCAAAAGGAAGCAAAATAGTTACCCCTTCTTCGTTATGGGACCGACTGTTGGATTCATCGCCTGTATCCTCGTTATCGATAGAGCCAGAAATAGTTCTACTCTTTCTATTAGGAAGAAGATGACAAATACAGGAACTTGAAATCGAATGCCGTCGAAGTACTGGAGGAATCCATCAAGGATGAAAAGCATGCGCAATGGCAAGCTCAAGGGCAGAAATTGCTCTTCGACGCTAAGCGAGAAAATGTTGCTGTTCAGCTTGAGGCTGCTTTCCGCGAACGACAAATGGCCGTTTATCGAGCTGTAAGTTCATCCATACTGGTATTTCTATTTTTCACGTCCTTATTCAAGATTTTAACTGCTAATTCTAATAATTCGCGAATATTTGAAATATTTTCCTGTCAGGTAAAAAATCGCTTGGACTATAAGCTCGAAATGGACAACGTAACACGTCGATTCCAACATCATCACATGGTTAATTGGATCGTCAGCCAAGTCCGCAAGAGCATCACGCCAGAATTGGAGAAGAAGAGCATAAATCAGTCTATCCAGGACTTGAAAAATTTGGCTGCTCGCGTTTGAGGCGGTCAGCTTCCTTCTAAGTGGAAGGTTTCATCTCGTCGTTGAATTGTAGGATTAAAATTAAAACAAGTAAACGAAGGAGAAGAAAGTGTGCGACGCTCGCCAAGTTCCTTGATTATGTTTGAACTCTTACGTGTGCAATGGTGGGGAATGAAAGAGCGATGTGCTGTCAACATCGGGAACTTCTGTCTGCATCTCCATTTCTGCCTTTCGAACCCAGTTGAAATACAGACGGTGTATGTTACTTCTCGTGTGTTTCAAAACTAATGGGTCTGCCGCAGTATTTTTAGACATTAAATTCCTCTTGATCGGACCATGTTTTGCCGGAAGTTTTTTGGCCATTTTAAGTGACTGGTCATATTGAACAGAGTATATTTGAAGTAAATCAATATTTTATTTTTAATTGATTTATGCAGATGGGCTCTCTACAGTAATCTTGTCTACACAATTTTCTCTGTTTAATGAACTTTTTGTGTCCTCATGCTAGGGGTCTATCACAACATAGGAGTTATCTACTATTAAATTTTCTCTACAGCAATTTTTTTCTGGTCTCTTGGGATTTTTTTAGAGAGAACGATTCCACCTGTAGTAGTAATGTAAATGCAAGTAAATCAAACTCGAAGATTTTTCTTGTTCTTGAATGCAATACATTTATGTGTTACTTTTTTGTCTATTTGAATTTTATTGGTACAAATGTTCTGTCTTGAAAAATTTTCACTAGTGGAAACGTTTTGTAAAGTGACATACAGTATTATGAACTCATCACTGCTAAAATATGTTATCCGCATACTGTACATCACTATGTCTATTACAGGTGGTACCTTGTAATTTGAAAACCCTGAAATCTGTCTGTCCTGCAATTCAATGGCCAAATTTGGTGGGAGGTCAACTTGAAATTAAACATCTGACCTGCAATTTGACCCATATAGACATAGAATATTAAACACAATGAAGAAAACATTGCATTTGATGTTGTCTTGCAATTTGACAGCTTCACAATTTTTGGGGCACCACCTGCATAAAAGTTTGTGCAATCCTTAAAATTCTGTGTGATAATTTTCATGATGATAATGTGGATGTTCCTTCTGTGGGAAGAGATAGTGAAATTAAGATGTAGAATGTCTATACTGTACTTTGATTGGTTTTGTACTCATTTATCTGCAACCATGCAGTATGATGAAATTGAAGGAATCACTTGGGCTGTGCACATAGCAGCCTTCTGCCAAACTGTTTTCCTGATTGAAATGTTTTGTACTGGGGTTTTAAGTGTCAGCATGCATAATATACATTGTAACCTTGAAAAGATTGAGCATTTAAGAGGTTCTATGGTGAAATTTCCACAATCAACAAAAAACCTTTCACCTGTTGAAAGGCATACTCCTCAATTAATTTTTTTTTACCGAATATTGACCAGTGCAAAAATACTGTACTGTATTTGCTTATGTAAGCCCTATAATCTATGTATAGGTGTTCTTAAAGAATGTACTGAAGTCAAGTACTGTAACCTTTTCAGCAAACAGCAAGAATCTAACCAGCATGCGAGAGGATTCAAAGAAAACAAAATCCAGTTTTATATGGTAATACAATACAGTAAAATCTTGTTACAACAAACTCCCAGGAAAATGAGAAAAAATTTGTTATAACAAAATTTGTGTTGAGATTAATGATTTATAGCACATTTCAGACTGGAATTTTAATGGAAATGGGGAATACAGTACATACTGTACTTTGAAAAGCTTCTAAAACAATTAATTCAAGACCTAGCATAATTAATGAGCTCTTCTGATGAAATGAAGAGAAATCCTTTGATATAAATATAACTATCCTTTAATAAATTACCTAACATTTGTACTAAAGTATTGCTTGTCTTCAAAAATAAAGTGAAACAAAATTACATATAGAAATACAGTCAGATCCCCACATGCAGACACCTAGCTTGACCTGAGGACAACTTGACGGTGGATTCTATGCTTGAAGATTTCTTTTTTTGTGAATTTTTAATGCTACTGTATATCTTAAAATTTTTTCTACATTTTCTGCCATTTATAGAGTACAGTAATTCCTATATGGGCTATGCACAAAATCATGCCCAAAAATTTGTTACAATGAGATTACAGCCAAAAATTACTTTATTATAAAAACATTTTATAACATTATGCCTATGGGAAACTGTCTGGACCAAAAAAATTGTTATAATAGCATTTTTTTTTACAAAGATAATTGTTGTAATGGAATTCTACTTTATATTGTGATCATCCTGAAAAAAACTTTATACTGGACAAATCTGAGATAGATTAAAACATTCTCATGTATGTAAACATGGTACCCTGTATGCAAACGCAAGATAAACTATTGGAATAATAATGATAAAACTTCGTAAATATTCTGAATTGACTGCAATGGCGTACTTTATACTGTACTTCGACGAGGCCGCCTGTGGGAATTCGTTTCTGCGGAATTTAAACTTTTTATCCACAGAAGGAATGGCCGCGGAAGTGTTCATTGCCGAAATGACTCCAGGGTACGGTGTAGCAGGCAGGGCGTACTCCCCAGGTACAGCGTACTCCCCCCGCAGGAAGATTAGTCCACATCCGCGGAGTGCGATTCAGCAGAGCCTCTTCTGCAGTGATCACTTAGGCAGTGGTATCTTCCACAGCATTCAGAGGAAAGTTGATTCCACAGTGATTCTTGAAGCAGCATTTAATGTCAAAAAGAAATTGAAATAAGAATGTGGCAGTTGGGGCAGGGACTGAAGAAGACATTTCTCCAAAGCATCAACAAGATTCAATGCAACCAGATGGAATTGGCTCTCCTCTGAATTTCATTGAAAGTACTACTGCATGTGTTCACCATGGAACTTCACTCCGCGGATTTGAACAGACCCGCCGGACGGCATAGCGCACACTGGAGTACACCCTGCCTAGGTATGGTGTACTCCTGGAGTGCATCCTGCCTAGGCAGGGTGCATCCTGCCTAGGCAGGGTGTACTCCTGGAGTACGATTTTGGGGGAGTACGCTGTGCCGCCCACAACGGCCTATCCATGGATGGAGACCGCTCACGAAGTGTTGTGGCCCTGCAGTGTTGCGAGTGATCGCGAGTGGAGGATCTCGTGAAATGAGATAATGTAGCGGCCCTCCAAATACGAAACCTTCGCGGGTGGTGTTGGTTCATTTTATTTTTTTTTTAGAGCCGCGAGCGTTGCGTTGAGATCTTTCGTTGGAGAATCGAACGTAGTGTTATTCATGTTACTTCACCATGAATTTCTTCGTCCCGACGGGAATATCTACAATCGATGACGCGTTGCGCGGCGGAATCCCTTTACCTGGGGTAACTGAGATTTTTGGCGAGCCAGGTTGTGGGAAAACTAGAATATGGTTAGTTGTGCCGTCTGTTTTATCCTAATGCCATGCACATTAACCTGTGTAAGATTGATTCTGTTGTACTTTTCAATAAGCATGGAGATTTGCAAGAACGCGATGTTTTCATCGTCCATTCGGAAGGGAGGAGTGTCTGCCCTGTTCATCGACACAGTATCTACTTTCCGATGTACAGAATTTAGAGGTTCGTGATTTAGTTGATGACTTACACCAAACGTTCTAAGAGGATTTCCCAACATCGGAACAGAAATGCTGAGAAATGGAGTGGAACAGTCGAAATGCATGCTTTTATCTCCGACGAACATGGATGAATTGTTAGCTGTCATTGCTGGCTTGAGAAAAATCGCTAAGAACATTCCTAGTGTGAGTAGCTGAATGCCTTCTGGTGAACTCGCCTATTGCTAGCTATTTATTTCGGACTACCATGTAGCTGGGCGTTGTTGCCATTGATTGCTTCGGTCATCCCTTCCGATGTTCCAGGATTTCTTCTGATCAAATAGAGCTTGCGAAAATACTGAACAACGTGCATCAAGATTTGCTACAGGCCTCTCGACACTTCGGGTTCGCTGTCGGCAAGTATGGAATTTCTTGTTTGAGTAGGGGAAATGAACGATTAGTTTTATTTCCAGTTCTTACGAACCAACTCACGGTTGATATGAAAGACGGGTATGCCACTGTGCCGGCGCTAGGAGAATCATGGGGTCAGTGTGCGGGAATGCGACTTGAGATTGTTCGCGGGTTGGATTCTTGTGTTACAGTGAATTTATTCAAGTCTCCATTCGGTGAAGGCGTTCGTTCTAATCCGTCCGACGCTAAATGTTCTTAAGTGTCATTTCGGGTCTTCATGTTCGAATGCTTTGTATACGAGGCTGAATTTTCCGGTGACGATAACCGAACTACGAAAATTTTCTGTTTTCTGTCCGACAAGATTCTTGTGTCAAAATTTGATTTTTTCAACTGACGTGTTGCCAGATGCTGCAGATGACGATTTCCTGTTTCAGTGATTATCGATGCTTTGTTCCTCTTTAGAAGTATGTGTCCTGTAATGTGAAGAATTTGACGAATTAATGGCGACATGAATAATTTGAAAAACGTTGGTGATTGTGATGACGATGCTGGTGGAAGCGATACGACTTCAGAAGGTTCATTTGCTAACCTCTCTACAGTGAGCAGCGTCTGTGACCGGTATGGGTTTATGGGGGGATTCCAATACTCCGGTGACAAGTGAGTACATTACCATATTCCGGTTCTCAGGAATTATTCTATGGCACGAAATTCTGGGCCATGTTAATCATTTGTTAAAATGACATTCGTTCGCAATTTGATAACTGCGAATGAGGAAGCTCGTTTGCGAAGATATGTGACGGAAATCACAGAAGATTCCAGTCAGACTGTGTGTGATAGCGCTACATTGAACCTTCACAGAGACTTCGACGTTCCTGTCAAAAAGTTGCGTCGTCGGGAAATGAAATGGATGCACATGATCAAAGCATGGGATAAATTCGTCACTAGAAATTACGAGAAGGTATGAAATTCGATGCACACCCTGACTTTCCTCTAATGCTTCTTTAATTTGAAAACTTAATCACTGCTTCAACTTTTGTGCCAGGGAGCTGCATATGATTTCCATTGCTATAACGGAACGTTCGGATAGAGGAGATGTGTACCACTTATCAAATTATTTACAATGTAAAATCTCTCTGTTCAGCCATTCTAATTTTTCGACCGTCGTTAGGATTTCCCTAACGACAAAGCGTGCCACGGCCGTCAACTGAAAGTTATTTTCAGCGTAAAGATTTTAAAGATTTTTGAACACGTTGAAAGTGCTTTTCAACGTGTTGAAAGGTTAAATAATTTTTAGTTCATTTGTGATGCTATTTTAAATTTTGGAACTTCAGAAAGAACTATATACGATTTACGTTTTTGTGCGCCAACGGACGTTCCATATACTGTATGAGGTATTTCGTCGGTTGAATTAATCCAGACAACTTCAGTGTGGGTTATTTCTTTCTGGTCAGGATACCGTGTTAAACGCTTGTTCTGTTGTATTTTATAAGTACATGAAGAGTTGAAAATACTGCTGGATTTTATTGTACGGTAACTGGGTTGACCTTATAGAAAATATCTTAATGAATTTCAGGTCAGGGAACGATGTAAGAAGGGAATTCCGCCTGCCGTTCGAGGCCAAGCTTGGTTTCATTTATGCAATGCTCACACATTGAAACGTAAGCATCCTCATCTATACGAACATCTCTTACAGCTCCCTGGGGACGAGAAAATTGTTGATGAAATCCAGCGTGATATTCATCGACAATTCCCCACCCACGAAATGTTCGCGGAACAGGGTGGTTCCGGCCAAAGTGAGCTTTTCAACGTGTTGAAAGGTTCGTTTTGTTGTTGCATTAATGATAAGGACACAATGGGTTCTAATTATTATTTTCGTTATAGCATATTCATTGTTCAACAAGCGTGACGGTTATTGTCAAGCACACGCCCCTTTAGCAGCTACTCTTCTGATGCAGATGCCGAGCGAACAAGCATTTCTTTGCTTGACGTCATTATGCAACAATTACCTGCCGCTTTATTTCGCTCCAGATTTGCAGATGCTGCAAGTAGACGCAGAGCTGTTAATGACTTTGTTGAAGAAAACCGAGCCTGCTATTTATAAGCATCTTGTGAGTTGGATTTGCTTCAGTTCCTTCCGAAATTCATTCATCCACTGCTCTCAAGTTGCAAGAAAAGCAGATCTGTCCGTGGTTTGTTGATAAACTTTTGGTTTTCCAATCGTGAATTACTGTTGATGTAATCGTCTTACAAGGAATAACAGTCTATACAAATACGTCATTTTTCAGATCAGCTTACTTGTTACGCATTCACAAATATTCAATTTTCGTACAGAAACGTCAAGGCATTACTCCAATACTCTTCATGACCGACTGGTTCATGTGCATCTTCACGCGGAACCTACCCTGGGAAACTGTTCTGAGAGTTTGGGACATGTTTTTCTGTGAAGGAAGAAAGGTGCTTTTCCGTGTGGGGCTTACGATTCTTCGCCTTGTTTTGGAACCAGCGTCTGTGCGAAAAGAATGTCCGTCCATGCACGAAACTGTGACCAGGTTGCGCAACATACCCACTCGTTTAGTGGAGACCAAATTTTTCATTTCAGAGGTAAGTGTATCTCCCTCAGAAATTCTTTTGGTCGCCAAAGCGTAGAAAGAAATATGTTTTTAAAATGTATTTAGTAAATTGTTTAGTACCATAGGCTTGTAAAAAAATATTTCTCACTTCAGGGTGTCATTTTGAAATTGTGATATTTCCCGTAATTTCAAGTCATTTTTTTCTTCGTTAGATGGCCAGGCTGAAACTGAGCGAACAAGAGCTTAGTATAGGATTTCAACGTCATTGGGCAATTTTCGAATCGAAAAAAGCAGACAGTTCACATGGAAGTGCATCAGGAGATGTTAATTTGCCGAAGCCTGGAAAAAGTGGAATATCTAGAGAAAAGAAAGAAAGTGGGCATTCCGCTGAGATTTCCGTTGCCTCTACGGTTTCGGGTAGCTTTAATAACAATTACGTAGAGAAATCCCGAAGTTCTGGCACGTGGGGACGAAAAGGAAAATCTGAGTTACGGAAAACTCGATAATCCTGAGCTTTTCACGTTACCTTTTGTGCATTGACTTTCTGTCGGCGGAATTGATTTCCGCGAATGTCCGAGAGAAAATGTATCGGGTTTTGAATATCCGACCTTCTCGGTCGCGATGTCTTTTCGATAAAAAATTATTTTACCAAACAGACGACATTGCAGGGAGCAGGATTTGGATGAACATTTTCGGCAAGTTTTTCCATGCGTGTGATGTCCTTGAAAAGAATGTGATTTTTTTTCGCGCTTGAAATCGCAGTGGAATCATTCGATCGAATTATTTGAAATGGAAAGTCTTGCGGCAGGAAAGCGGATTGAAATTTTAAATTTTAGAAGGATTTAAATAATTTTTTCGCCTTGTTGCGGGATCCATCAACAAGATCCATCCATCCATCACACGTTAAACAAACTTTTATAGGTAATGCTTGCCTGGGAATGCTTGGTGTACTGAATTGTTCTGGTACACCGTTGATTTAGTTTTCGTTGCGTGGATTGTTATTTTCCAACAGCAATGCTTGATTATTTTCGCATAGAAATATTTCTGTACACTCCGATGGAAAGCTGAGAAGGCGCGGCAGTCGTGCAAAAAAAAAAAAACCAAGGATGATTCTATGCTGACATTTCTTCTTCGATCACGGTGTCTTCCGGGCATTCTGGTTTTTGAAATTGAATGATCTGTTCCAATTTGCGCAGGAATGAGTGCGAAGTTCGGCCGATATTACGGGAAGAGAACCGACCATTTCGCGGAATCAGAGGTAGTGAAATCCTTCCCACGTGAAGATGTGTTCTATTTGTGTCGAGATTTGATAATCGGCCTGGACCTTTTGAAGGAGTCCGAGAAACAAGGTAGGGTTTGATTTCGTGGATCGAATTGACTTTTCGAATATCGGTTTAAAATTTTTTATTGATTGTTCCTTTACGTTTAGGAGATGCAATCTTCGGAAAAGTGTGCGACTATTTTTTACAAATCCAGACACGAAACTGTTCCCATGATCATGGACAAACGGCGGCTTTTATTGCCTTTATTGCGACCTTTAGTTCTTCTCGGCATATCGGAGGTATTCATCCGTGCGTGCAGCAAATTTCGGCCTGTGCTCAAATTAGACCCGCGCAGTTTCTGAATCTTGTTCGGAAAGCGAAGCTGGGATCGTCTTTTGCAAGATTGGCACGAGATCCGCGCTTGGCGGCAATTATTGAGGAAGAATCCTTTCAATTCTTGAGGTCCTTCGAGGAAGGCCGTGAAGAAGCCGATGCGCTGGATCTCCTGTATTTTATTGATCGTGTCGGAGAGGTGAGTCTTATAGTTTAATATATTTTAGAATTGATTTGCATCGCTTAGCTGAGCACCAAAATATTTTATTTTATGAATAAATAAAGCAAGACTGAGTTTTTTTAGTGCTATTTTGAAATATGAAAATTGAAGACGCGTTGTCTCTGATTCTTCTGAATGAGGAGATATCTGATTGCGTAAGAATGTTCGTTTTGTCTAGGCGTTGAAATTGATATTTTCCGAAAAACTTCTTTGTTCACAGTTGTTGGTAGATTTTTTTTCTACGGTATGCCTGGATCGGTTCATCGCCGAACTCATCCGCCTGTCACACCTGCCGATGACCATCTTAGTAACCATGCGTCTTGTTCGGAAAATTCTCGAATCTGTCCAAAGGAGAGTCATTGGAGATTCTGAAGTCTTCGGTGTTCGAAATTCGTTTCTTGATGGAATTTTTGCCGAAAAGAAACTTCACCACTCCGCTGGCGATGCATCAGCAGATTTGTTGGGTTTGTTGAAAATAGTACAAATTGTCGAGGAAAAGCATACGATTGCTGGTTTTTTGAAATCAAGTTATGAACTGCCTTGGTGTTCACGAGACTCAGTTGAACAAGGCGAAGATTTCGTTTTGGAATTGCTACAGCTCGTCGATTATGTTCTTTACTTCGCCATCAACGTCCTGGATATCTCTTTGGAATCGGGTCATCTTGACAGAAACGTCGAGAAGCCTTTCTTTTCAGTGGCCAGTCTTTTGTTCCCACTCAGCAATAGCGACTCGTCCATTATAGGCCAAGATCCAAGGAAAGCATTGGAAGTTTTGAAAACTGTTGATCCCCTGTGCCAAGAACTGATCATCGTCGAGCTTCTCAAGAATCCACGAACATATGAAGATCAATTAGTTTGCAGAGATGTCTTGAAAGCGGGAATCAAGAACCAGGCTGCGATCACTTTGGAGAAGACACGGTTCATTTTATCGGCGCTAAAGCAAGTGAAAGAGCTTGCCGAAGTGTGCAGGAAAATTTTATGGGATTCGTTGACAGAGTTGAAAGTGGAAGAGTTGCTGTCACTTGGTCAGGAATTCAACGACGTCAGTGCTCTAAAAGGAAATGAATTTGATCAGGTTATGACGGTGACGTGGAATCGAATCACGGAAGCGAATGTTGACCAATATTTGGTAAGACAATCGAATATTGTGAGGTGTATTAAAGTAAATGGAATTTCCTTTTCATTCTACAATATTTCCGATACACCACGGCTCTTGGGTTGAAAGTTATTTTGGCGCATAATTTTCGAGTTTTACGCTTTTGTCTTCGCAGACGATTACAGTAATTTGTTTCTTAGAACCTTGTTTGAAAATCGTCCTTCAGATTAAAATATTTCATATCGGAAGGAAACTAACCAGCTTCCTTTAATGGACAGGGGCCTAATAATGAATGGAATTAGCTGAGTTTGTCCGATTTATTCAACCCAGCCGAGTCGAAAAAGATTTCCTCGTTGCGTTTTATCGTACAAGTTATTATTGCTAACGATTGAGGCGGAAAAACGGTTGTGCACGCGGTTTCAGGAAATTCAATGTATTTACTTATTTTCCTCCATCTTCGTTTAGAAAATTTTGCTGACCGCGTGTCTGTGCGATGCCCATTCTGTGATCAGTGCATCAATTTTGAACGGATGCGAAAAGCCGGGACGCGTCGCAGTCACTGCGTTGGTGCTTTCGGAGCTTGGTACGCTATGCCTAATTCCTTCACCGGATGGTACGTCCTCGAATCTCCTCCTTTCTTTGATGGTGTCATGGACACGAAGCTGTGAAGCTGTTGATCTCAAGCGGCGCAGTAACTTCTGTAACCTCCTTGTACGTCTTGTTGACGTGGGAACACTGCGCTTGGTTGATGTCCTTGACGAGTTAATTCAGCCAGAATTCGAACGCATGAAAATTCCTGAGGTGACAGAACCACCAGAATTTCCTTTGGAAATCATTCAGGTGAGAGTGCATTCCCTAGATTCCTTGGTGTCCCGAAGATTTTCTCTTGAATCGTGGGATATTGCATGCATTTTTGCGGATTAGAGAGAGGAGGTTAGAAATTTATAGGAAGTTTTTTCATGAGTTTCAGGCGGTCTTGGATAACTGTTCAACGTTGCGAAAATCTGCAGAGCCCTGGAGAATCTTGCAAATTCTTGTGCGTGCGTTGGATCATTCGGATACTACATTTTCAGAAAGATCTACATGCAATGTTGGGAGCATTTTTTCCGGCGACATCCTCGATCGTCTCTGGAGAGCATTTCGTTCAACCGCTGAAATGCTTGCGTCATCAGGTTTGTGCTTCTCCTTAAAGCTCTTGTTTTCTATTTTGCGAAATTATTTTACATACTGTATAAATGTACAGAGGAGGAAGAGTGGGAAAATTTCCGAAAGCAGATCGGAAGTGAAAAGTATTCCAATGTTTCCCTGCCCTGGATATCGGTGTTTTGCCCGGTTGTTGACAATGGAATCGGACAGATTTCCTGCTCGAAAAACGGAGTGCTGAAAGAGTTGCATAAAATCTATTTCTTGCGTCATGGAGGCGTGTGTCGTGAATGTGGATCGGCATGGCCGAACGAAACGAATGAAATCGTCAATCTCAGTTTGGTGAGTCGGATTGAGTGGAAGAGCATACAATAATTGTAGTTGGAAGAGATTTGTGGAAATACTTTTTATTAGTATTTTTTTCTGAAATTTTTTTTAAATATTATTATTGTGAGGCATTCTCCTTCTTTAGATGATTATTTAATGTCAGTTATATTTGTTTTCTCATTTGCAGGCGTTGCTTGTCTCGAGGCGTGAAAACTGGTCGTATTGCTTTCGGGATTTTTTCGGAACGAACGGCGAGTTGCAGGGAAAAGAGGTCATGAATCTCATTCGATCGTTGACATCGGTTCTACGTTGGAGTTCCGAAGAAGAGCAAGTTTTTGTCCTAGATAATTTGGCTTTTCAGTTCCAGGTATAATTTTAAGTTCACCTGGTCGGTGAATCCCTCGCACTCATTGCCATTCATTCTCTTTGTGCGACCTCTGCGGTTATTTCAGGAAAAATTCATTCTTCAGTTACCGAGTGTGTCTCGTGATTTCACGATAGAGGGGATATTGCTCATCCTTAGCGATTTTTCCAACATCATGGGGGAATTTTCCGCGTTTGCTTTATCGAAATCGCTGGTGAGTATTTATTTCATGTATCTATCTGTTCTGTTAAAAACCTTGTTTCTTCTCTTGTTTCAGGGGTTGAGGGTTCTCATAGATGCAGCTGTGTTCGTGCTCAAAGCAGCTGAAGAAAAAAGTTTCACGCCGGCGACGCGATTGCGGAAGGCCTTGTTGGCGTGCTTGTTTCCTCTCTTATTTAAAATCGAAAATCGGGACATCCACATTATGAAAATCCTGCAATTATTTTCCTAAACGTTTCGGTTCCTTTTAATTTATAAATGATTTCTTGAAAACCGGCTTTCATTTCCTTTTTTTGGCTGAAAATTTCTTGATTTATTAACATACTGTACTACATTACAATTTTCCAGATCCACGGAAGTTTAATGATATCGTCGTTGCTCGCATTCAAAAATCTACTTATGAAGATTGAGCCTAAGGCGAACGCATTTTATCTCTTACGTGATTGTATGACGTGTTTGTGGGAAAATCGCGATGAGTGTCGGGACGCATCAAAAATGGCTGCTGAACCTGCCTTGATGGCATCGATTGTCAAGGAAATCTGTGATCGAGCTCCGTCTCTTAGATTTTCGTTGGAAATGTTTATCAATCAATTATGTTCCAGAGCTCATATGACTTCTTCGTCCGATGTTTGTCGGACTCGGTCCGGTCTGGCGGTATTCCTTGACATTTTCGGTTCTTTGCAAGTACCTGAAGGTCTTGACCCGAACCATGGAAGTCTATCGACTATTCGCGAAAAGCTTTTTCCTGAAGAAGTCCTCGATAGACTCGACAAGAGCATTGATCGTTTTTGTGGTGAATATTCTCTCGAGTCCAACGTGGCGGTTCCCGCTGGTATGTCTGAAAGTCATTGGTGGTGGGCTCGATCCGCGAGTCCAAAAATGAACCCTGCACCTGAACCTTTCTATGACGACAGTTTTGAATACTAAAATTGTCATCATCAAATGTACGATTGCCACTGAAAGATGACCGTATATACATAAACAGCATTGCAATTCATCGGTCAACTCTCATTCAAGCCTTCCTAATCCGCTGAAAAATAAAAGGAAATCAGTTTTTTTTTTCCTGAATGTGCAGCAATTTTTATGTGTCCGCCGTATTTGATGCATTCGTTTTCTTCGGAAGTTCTTCAGGTTCTATGACCATGGGGGCTCCGTACACCATGAAAAATATGCCAAAAGATGGTTTGATTGTTATGACGATGCTGAAAGAAGCCGGTGTTCAGGAATACGAGCCGCGTGTTGTAAATCAGTTGTTGGAATTTGTTTACAAGTACACTACAGATGTTCTTGAAGATGCTCGGTTGTACTCACATCACGCCCGCAAGAAAGCTGTGGATGCTGAGGATGTCAAACTTGCTCTGAGAATGTATCTGAGTAACACTTTCGTCTGTCCCCCACCGAAAGAGCTACTTGTGGAACTATCGAAAGTCAGGAATGCTACGCCACTGGCGAATATGAAACCTCATTGCGGTCCACGCCTTCCACCCGACCGGTGAGCTAAAATAGAAGAGATTCGAAATTTAATGCCTCTGTCTCGACGACCGTCTCCATCCATCGCTTTTATAATTTTTTTGATTGTGTGAGTTGACCTTCAGAGAATAATACAGTACTGTGCCATATTTTAGACTCAGTTAAGAGATGAGAGTACCGACAATTTATTGCTTCAAATCCTTCTGTGTAATTTAAGAACACGTTTCGATTTTGTCTGACCGGCGAATTCAATTTCTAGGTATTGTCAGTTCGCATCCAACTACCGCATGGTAAGCAATGCTGCCGCGGTTCCTTACCGCAAAGGACCTCCGAAGCCGTTTACTATGGGATTGTTGGCGAGCAGTCAAAAGGAAAAGAGATTTCAAATGAAAAGTGAACTGCTTTCCGAAGATGGGCGGGGAATGAAGCGTCCTCATGTTGAAGACGAAGATGATTTCGCCGACGAATCCAGCAATGTTTCGGGTGGCGAAGCATTTCAGAATTTCACTCCAGAAAATTCCATGAAAATGGAGGAAGCCGACGACGAGTATGATTGAACAAGGAAAATGCAATTATCATTTTGAACTTCGTTTTGATTGGTCTTCTTCGTTGCTTTCTGGTGTTATTTGGTTTCGCAGCATAATAGGCATTTTTGGGTTTATTTTAGACTTCGTTGGTTGATACAAAAATGTGTGATGCAGAAGATGAACTTACGATTCCGCGGGCGTCAATCAATAAGATGATGAAAGAAATGCTCCCGAACGTCCGAGTTTCGAATGAAGCCAAAGAACTTGTCATGAATTGCTGCACGGAGTTCGTCCATGTAATAGCTTCTCGTGCCAATGAAGTATGCAACCAGAACCAGAAAAAGACGATCATGCCTGATCACGTGTTGGGAGGTCAGTTCTGTGGCATTCGAATTTTCTGAGAAGTTACCGTGACCCGCACTGAATTTTTCTAGCTTTGAATGAGGCTGGCTTTGGTGATTTCGTTAATGAAGCTAAAGAAGTTTTGAAAGGTTGCAAAGAAATGCAAGCGCAACGAAGGAAACATTCTACCCGTCTGGAGAATTTGGGCATTCCCGAAGAAGAACTTCTGCGTCAACAGCAGGAACTTTTTGCTAAAGCTCGAGAGGAGCAACTCCAGGTTCGTCGGGTTTCTTCTTATGGGTGCATTGTATTAGTACCTCTGACTCCGCTTGATATTTATGCTTGATGATTAATTAACTTATTCTTTTCGTCAGGTCGAAACGCAACAGTGGCAGCAAATTCAAGCAGAAGTTCAAAAGAAATTAGAAGAGGAAAATCGGGGTAGTACTTCGACAGCAGTTGTGGACGAGGACGACGATTATTCGTGATCGTGAACCATTCTTATTGATTCTTTTACTCCTTGCGTTCTATACCAATTGATAAAGCTGATTCATTTTACAAGAAACTGTCTTTTACTTTCTCGTGAAAACCTTCAGTTTTTTCCGAATAAGACGCGTTGGCTCAATTTTAAATGGATATTTTACATTTCGGCACGACTTCGGTTAAGGATTTGTTTCGCGAAGAAAGTTGCCGCAAGCAGTAATTTACTGCGGAAGTGAGCATTCCGAAGAAATCTTCAGCTTGGCCATGCGCTGTACAGTATTTCCCTATGAGCAGTTGCGTTTTTCAATTCCTGCTTGAAACTTCGCGCAACTATGATTTATTGCAGCTAGCGCAATTCAAACCATAGTAAATTTTTATGCGACTCCCTTGTTCAATCAATCGTTCTGCTCGGTATTACATTAGTATAGATAGATTTGTTATTTACTAAAGGGGCACTTTTCGCAATTGATGTTCATGAGTGACACTCTAGCCAACCTTACGCAAAAAAGGGTGAGTAAGAAAATCTCAGACCAATTTTGGACAAGTTTATATTCTACACAAAGAAAACGGAAGTAACCAAAATTACACCTAATTGAAATAATACGCAGTACAGTAACACTTAAATATTGAAATATATGCAGCAACCTAACAAAATGCAAGATAAGAGCATGAATCTAAAATGATTGTGAGGGATGTTGCCGCAGCCCTTTGCTTGCCTGTGATGTCATTTGCCGTGAAGATCGCAGGCAATGGACTGCGGGAAGAGATCCTGACAGTTCCTCTGGCTGTGAAGGAAAGCATATTACAGTACGCTACAGTACTGTGCAGTACTGTACTTGAATATTAGTTCTGTGTTCTGCCGGTAGATGTCCGGCTTGCATGATGTTCATCGGGTCTGGGGTTCGTCACCTTGGCTCAGATGATCTTGCCTAATTTTTTCTTGGCGAAGTTTACCATCAGTGATCCACTTTGATGCAATGAGGGCGTTATTACAGGGTGATTGGGTCGTAGTATGGTAGTAAAGTGAACTGTGATGTCACCATGGATCTGTTTCGGAGAGCTATTTCTTCCACGATGTCGAGTGCGCAATCGGCTGCGCCGCAAGGCCCCCTTTTTCGTGGTGATTTTCGTGTGACTGTTCGAGAAGTTAATCGATGTGGTTGGGTTTCTTCTCTTCGATTCGTGGAAGATCACGAAAGGGGATTCGGATTCTCATCTTCCTTCGGCAAAGTATGAAATCGGCGTGTCTTTTTCTACGTCCATATGCTGACCTTGCACTCCTTTTAGACAACACCGGAAGTTTTCGTTGGAGAGAAGCGTTGGGCCGTGTTCTGCGTCCATGATGATGAAATTCCCTTCGTGGAATTGTACGAGAATGACAAGAAAGCTGCCAGTCACAAGCCGAATGCGTATTTCAATCTTCAAAGCTGTCTTCATGTATCTCCGTGCATAATACCTTTGGGCGATGGGGAACTTCGATATCCCTTTGTTATTACACTTGCTGAGAGCGTTTTACAGTTCGCCGCCCCTGATCGGTGAGTTCTGATTCTTTGCATCTATACTGTTATCTGACATTATTTTTGCCTAAATCCTAGGCCCACGATGATGGAGTGGGTGGATTGCCTTAGGAACAAACTTCGGGATTTGAAAATACTGCAACCAAAGTTCAACATATACTCAATGGAACCCATTCCGAAAGCTTTACTGCCAGCAAATAGAAACCCACTTTCTCCGCTTCCACCCTTTCCAAATACGGGAACCATCGTCCCTCCGGGTCTTGAGATCGTCCGTGGCTCGGAACGTCGCTCATTCCGGGCACCAGCTCTTGTTCACCTCACCCAAGAACCTTCGCAGATTATCGGGTTGAGCGGGGGAGCCAGTGAACGTAGCGCAACATTTTCGCCGGCGCAGCCACCTGCAGAAGAGTAAGAGCTCGTTGTATCATGTTGTTTCTGCCGTAATTCCACGCTTGTTTGCCGGATAGAGATACCTTGGAGCACTATTTACCTGTTTGGGGACTTGGAACTCCAGGAGGAATTCCAGTTAGTTCTGCAGTGGACGAAGAAACTCTCGTTGATGTTTCGCCGATTTCGCGTGTGTTTCATGCGTGGCATGCAAGCGCCAGTACTGATGAAGCTCCTCTACCTAGAGCATTGGAAACTGAAACATCTGTAGCCGCCAATTCTTCTCTGAATAGGATTCAACTAAATAACAGTCTCTCAACCACGGAAGTTCCTCCGTTACCAGCCCGTCCTCCTCCCCCTCGACCCCCAAATCGGGTGCAAAATCACGTAAGACCTGATTGAATCTTTGTGCTCTTGCGTATAAACAAATCTTGTTCTTTTTTTAGATCATGAGAACTTTGAAAGAGGAGCAAGTTTCGGAGTTTCAACGACAGCAAGATGCGAGGGTTCTGCGAGTGAGGCTTCCTCGTCGAGATGCCCATGGATCAATAGCTCTAGTTGATTGCTTCAATTCCGTCTGGTAGAATTCCTGTGTAAAAATATTTTTTGTTGAGTTTATGTAACCACGCTCGCTCCTGTGCAATTAATAGGTTTGCAGGATGGAAACAGAAGGAACATCCTATGTTGCATCACTACTTCCATATTGGGGATCAGTTGAAGACCGTAAACGGGACGCAAGTTATTTCCGCTGCTCAGGCACAGAAGTTGCTGAAAGATTCCAGCAACAACGTGGACGTATGTTTATTTTGAAGTATTTGCTGAACTGTATTGAATTTAGGAATTTCAAGGTGGAGATTCTGTTCAGAAGAGTTCCGTCCGGAAAAATTTGCCTAATAAAGCGATCAGTGGTCGGTGAAAGCTTGGGGCTTATTAGAGAAGGAAACACGAATATCATAAAGGAGGTCCAAGAGGATGGTCTTGCCGCAAGAAGTGGTCTTCCTTTAAAAGCGAAGACATCTGATGGCTTGTCTTTCACAGAATGGGTGCTGACTGAAGTCAACGGACGACCATTGAATCTTTTCTTCAAGGTAAATCTTGAAAGATTTCATTTGCAAACATTTTTTTTCATTGTTTCCTTTAGTTTCAAAGGTCTTCTCGCATTTTAAAGTGATTCAAAACATTTTTTTTTGAATATTCGAAACAGGGGAATGAGGTTGAAGAACGGCTGAATGCTGTTGGTCAAGAAATATCGTTGCTTGTCCAGCCGCGGGATCTAGTCACGACAATCAAGCGCAATTTGAAGCTAATCCGGAATCACAAGGAATACATTGTTCAATGATATAGTAGTCCAAGCTTTGCGCGAAGATTTATTTTGGCCTTATTTAACGTATGATTAGTGTTCTTTTTTGCGATAGTGAGTTACCCAGGCTGGGTAGAATCAATTTCTTGCCCTTTTTAAGCTTGCTTCCACGTCTTGCCTTGGAAACTTTTTACGAGGAGGAGTGATATCATTCGCATTGTGTTTCTATATGTAAAGACATTTTGTTACATTTTTAGCTTACGTGATGTTGTATTTACTTTTTGCTGGAGTTATTTTTAAGCACGGAAATGTGGAATCGTCTCTTGCTCACTGAGACTACATCACGTCGAATATCACGGCAAAAAGAATCTTTGACTGTCTCCATCTCAATTGTTCGAATTCGTGATTGTTGGAGATGAAATATTGCGACAATTATAGCGTCTCGCGGTATTTTGTTCGGATGTTCAGAAAAACGCGGAAATGGAATCCCTGCTTGCGGAATTTGAATGACATTGTATATCATTCCACTTCACAATCACAAAGTTGTTGCTGATTTTGCTTCTCTTTCTGCTCGATTCAAAAATCTTCGCAGTCAAGAATCTTCGCAATGGATGTATACGCTTGTGGATTTAATGGCCTTGGCCAAATCCCGCCGTACGAAGGTTTCAAATGTCCCACGTTTCATCGGATACATCGTTCCGTGGAAACGTTCAACATTCACGTACTAAAAACTCATTTCATTATTTTCAGCAGTGAGTTTCTTACGATTTTTTGAGTTTTTATTCAAAAACCACTGTATTCAAATTTCAGGTGACAAAATTATTAGTTATGGATTGATGGGCAGCCAATTTCCGGTACGTTTTCCTCCCAAGTATGATGGGACCTCGTCAAAAGCTTGTTGCACTTCAACTGCAATTCTAGTTCACGGGATGCATGGAAGCTCATTTACCTGGAGTCTCAAGAAAAGGTCATTGTCATCCGCCTGGGAGCCTCTGCGCGTTGATTTGGAAAAGATACATGGCATTTGTTCGGGAGGTGAAACAGTGGCTTTTTGGACCGACGGTAAACCGGATCTTCTTCTGTAAATACAGCGTCAGTTACCATTTTTCGCTGTACCTCCCTTTCTTTTTAGATGCTGTAAAAGTCTTGCCGGGCCCTTGCCTAGAAATGCCAGGATTAAGAGTGGCATCCGTCAAAGTTGGAGGAGAGCATTTCGTGCTGCTTACTGTCGATGGCCTTGTCTACACGTGGGGCGAAGGAAGGTGATGGTCATGCATCATGAAATGCTCGTGATAAATGTTTTTGGCATCAGGATGAGATTTGAAGCACTGTTTCTGAACTTACTGGAGTTCAATCCTCTACAGATATTGAAGTTTTTCACGAATGCACGTTTGACGTATGATCTCCAAGAGTGCTTACTGTAATGTATTTCAGTGTTCGACTCGACGATAATGAGTTAATCCATTGAAATGTCTCCGGTGGTTGGGTATGATGCGTAAAATTGTGTTTATTTCTGGTAATTCCATTTTTGCTACACATGAGGGATTTCTAGAATTTTCGCCAATACTCTCCTGCAGATTCAACCATCATGGGATGCCGTCGGTCATCAGATCTAAATCTGTAACCTTTTACTATGCATATATTGTAAAGTATCTAAACCAATGAAGATGAGAAAGAAAGGAGATAACTCGAGTGGTGGGCTTGAACCTAATGGAGAGCTCTGTCACACTATTGACCTGTGTTTTAGATCCCATCCGTGATTTTTGAAATCGAAAAAATTGGCGGTTTATAAATTCTCGGCAATCATGATCAGTAAATTTTGGTGTCAATATTTTCTGAGTTACGTAACGTGCGCTGAGCAGCAAGATTTTCATCGCATGTGGCACCAGTGGTGGGTTCAAATTGAGGAAGATCTCCGAACTGTGCTGGAAAAGTTGGAGTACTGTAGATGCCGTATCAGTTTGACAAGTAAGAATATCAAAAGGGTTCCCCATGACTCGTGTCAACATAATTTTTTTTAACATTTCCATGGAATCCATAGGAGAGCAAGGAAATGCCCAGGAACGAAAGTAAATTTCATTTGATTACGTGCACTTGACGTATGCTGGTGACTCGCAAAATTTTTTTTATTTACAAAGAAAATACAGTCGATCAAAGCTTTGAAACCTTTAGAACTTGACCCCGCGCCTCTATTTTTTCTTATTAATTTTTCGAATAGTTTTTCAATAACATAATTTTACCCCTTTCACCCTTGAAGCGAACTTGAGTCGAAGGTTATACTGTGCAGTATTCCCATTTGTAGTGAATTTGGTATGCGAGTCTTTCTGGCATTTTAAAAATTATGTACTGTACTTTTCTTATCCTATAAACAGAAGAGGCGCTCTAGGCCTAGGAGATCTCGAATCATGTCATCTCCCGAGAGAAGTCACGTGCCTGGCAGGCTTGAAGGTCTCTAAAATTGGGGCCGGATTTTGGCATAGCATTGCAGTCACTGTAGAAAACGATGTGTGCGTTTGGGGTTGGAACGAGTCCGGTCAGCTGGGATTCCCGTGCAGAGTCGTGCGAGAGCATGAAGAATCGTGTGATCGTCATTCCCCGAGATTTTTGCAGAGCGAAGAGAAGTACGTTGGAATCCTGGCAGAACCTAGGTTTCTGGAGTGCCTCCCTGACGATTTCATAGTTGTCGACATCTGCTGCGGAGACCGACATACCGTTCTGCTCGATGGTACAGTAAAAAATTTTAAAAAATCACGATTTCTTCGTGCAGCACGCACTTTCCCCCTCGGTATTGCATTATTCATGTACCGTACAGAAGTTATCACCCATCACAACATTGTTATCGTCTTTTTCAGCGGAAACTTGAGTAAAGAAAAACATATCGTCGAATTCGGCGTTTTCCGACTGTTCAATTTTTGATGAATTCATTTCTGTTTTTTTTCTATTCTTAAGAATTTCATAATTTTTTCGTGCAAATGCTGAAATAATTTCCGGCTCAAGTATGAGTCTTCATTAAAAATTGAGATACTGTCTACTGATGTCATAAAGATAACCAGGAACGTTGGTTGGTCAAAAAACCGGTTCGACTTTTCAGGAATTCAAATTTGAAATACATTATTTGTGAAGAAAAAAGCTGTTATCCTGAATAATATCTTCAATTAAACCCCGTTGCTAGGGAATACAAATAGTGTGTATCAGGTTTTTATCAGATCATTTTCTTTTGACGACAGGCGATGGTGGTTTGTGGACCTGGGGATTCAACGGATACGGACAGCTTGGACTCGGACACACGTGTCCCATGGACGAACCCCAGCGTAGTTGTCTAAAGAAAATTCTCCCTGAAGCCCAATCCTCTGACTTCGGGATAAGAGCTGGCGGCTGGAATACATGCGTTTCGGTGACAATACCTGCAAGTTAGGTCTATTCTGGGCACCGAAGCGATTTGTGCGTCTCCGCGTTTATCTTGCTCAAGTTCTCGGCAATTACGCTCGCGACCAAGTGCGGATGAGTGGCATGCTGTCTTTTTCTTGTATTTCACCAATGGTTTTTTTTTTTTTTTTTTTTTTTTTTTTTTTTTTTTTTTATTGTTTTTTTTTTTTTTTTCCCCATTGTTTTTTTTTTTTTTTTTTTTTTTTTTTTTTTTGAATGGAGCGGAAGGATCCGGTATCTTTTTATTTTTTCGGTCTTCTTTTGAAAAATAATCTAGGGACAGCAATTGCAGCTGTTCTCCTCCCGCCATGCGTCACGTTTCGTCACATGCTTGCGTCTCCGTCGACTTCTGACGTAAATGAGTTGATTCACTTCTAGAGTTCTCTGAGAATTGCCTGTTAATTTATCGATAACAAAATTTCTTCCCGTGAACGACCGTATCAAGCTACTGATGTAAGATTTTTTTCTGGTTTTGGTTTACAAAGCGGAAGATATTTTTTTAACTTGCTGAGAACGCTTTTTCAGCATGCGTCGAACTAAATAAATGAAACATTTCATGAACTGGAATTTTGAAACAGCCTCGGAAACATTTTCCTATTGAGATTGGTGTTGGTTTTTTTTCTTTAATTGACAGTGAAGTCACTGCATAATTAAAATTACCCGTTTTGGGTGCGTTTTTTGTGCAAATTTTTTTTATGCGAAGCGCAATTTCCTGCGGAGTTACATTATAAATAATTAAAGTTTTTCCTGACAGTTGCCGAAGGACCATAATGAAACTTAAAACTGCATGTTTTTCCTAATTTTCATCATAAAACTGGGATTTTTATATCATTCAGTACAGTAATTAATTCCAGTAACCCTGGCGATTTTGTGCCATGAATTTTTTGAAGTTTCACACATGTTTATAGACAAGAGGGTAAACTAATCCCTTCTGTTGAAATGTTATTTTTCGCAAGCTTTTATGTCGGAAACATTTTTGTTCTGCAAGTCACGTGTTTCGCCTTGAACATTTTATTTATGCAGATTTTTGTTATGTACCGGGGTTTCATGAACTCACGTACTATATGTGATAGTTCTGTGCTGTACAGTATAACATAATTTCAATAAAGCTGAGCCTTTATTTGACATGTTTCATTGGAAGAGGAGATTCTGTACTGTAAAATTGGTTGGCTGTTTCGTCCACCCTTCGCGAGAAATTGTCAGGCATGTTTTGAGTGCAGGGAAGCGAAATGATGGTGCGTCTTGTTGGGTACCAGGAAACGTTTCCACTTCCATATGTATAAAAAATGAGGTGCGTCATCCATGCATTGGCATCTCATATTTTCGTATAAGCAAGGCCTATAATAATCAGGAACGACTCACATATACATTTACCGAACTTTTTCGAAGAAAATCCTTGGTTGTGGAAAAAGTTTTCTCGGCACTGCCAGATAAAACATGAAACAAAGAATCGTAGACGGCTTAGCTTCGAAAATCGAGAGTTGTTCGTGAGGCTTGCAACACAGGTGAAATGATTATGAGTTCGTCTGGTTCAGCCAACAAACGTCATCATAACTCTTCCCCCGTGCGTCAAGCCAGCTTTGACAGAAATAAACGAGTTGGGGTTGCCCGTCGAGAAAGGGGGTACGTGGCGCGGAGGACCCGACGGGGTAAAACGATTGAGAAAAACTGCCGACGCGGCGGCCGCTTTTGTCACGGTTTCCCAGAGACAAACGACGTCAGCGGAGCAATTGCGACGAGAGGGAAGAAGAGATTTGGCTGTGACATCGTGAACAGTAAAGGACGTACCGGGGAAATGAATCCCATAAGAAGAAGACAAAATAATAATAAAGAGGGGAAATGTCGCGTCAGCGCAGTTCGTTTGCACGCCGGTGGAGGCCCATAATTTGGAACGGTTTGTGAGCGAGAACAAACCTGCCGTCATCCGCCGACGCGAGAACTTCCGACGTCGTTTCGTGACCGTAACCACGCGTTTTTGTGCCAAATACGAGGGATCAGCGCAAAAGTTTTTTCTTCTGGTATGCGAGGGTTGTCCGCCCAGCAGTTGGACGCGACCTAGGTGTGATTGAGAAAAGAATGATGACAATAGTAATAGTCTATGATTTTCTGAGATTTATTTTTTCTCGTACTAAAAGAAGTGTTTTCATTTTACTGCGTGATGATGACCAGAAACTTTCCCATTAGATCAAGAGTTATCCACTTGTGCTGTCACAGGGTGCTGAAATTTTTTCAGGCCAGCTAAAAAAAAATTAAAATTTGTTTTCTACATTTTAGATAATGTTTAAAGCAACAACAAAACGCAATTTTTTTTTAGCTAGCCCAAAAATTTTTTAGCACTCTGCGACATGTGTGGAGAACTTGGGCTGTAAATCGAAAGTGTTTACGTATCACCAGCAGTCAGTAAATTTTAAAACTTTTTTAAAAATAAAAAGCCAGAAATTTAGGAGATCAAGGGCTATTTCAAGATTTTTTTACAACCTACTCTGAATTATCTGAGGTCGTGTCCAACTTGGACAGTAATCCTAGTATTATTAGTATTAATGCAGGTAAACTCTCTCTGCAACAATCTACAAAAACTTTTTCTTATGACGGGTTCTTCTCATTCCCATATAGGGTTCTCTCCCCATGTTTTAAGGGTTATCTACGACAAAAAGTCTCTTTAAAAGAAATTGTGGTCCCTTGAATTTCGTTGTAGAGAGAATTCCGGCGTATAGTCTAAATCATTAAAACCATCAGTGAATATGCTGTATGATTATAGTGAAGAGTACAGTATACGACTAATGAAGTGAGAAGAAAGCCTCTTCGATTTCAATTGTGACTTATGTCATGTTTATCAATCGGCGTAATTTTAGCTTAACCTTCACATTCATGCACAAAAACTATGGAACAGATCCCTTTTTTCATTGAATATAATTTGTCAGATATATGTCCATGAAATTTAAGAATTTTTTAATTCGTTGAAATATTTAATACGTCAGTATTATGCAGAATTTTTCTAAATTAAAATGAAATGCGTGAGGCGGATACATTTATGGATTATGTGTTCAACATTTTGTCTATGCTCATCCCCAACATTTCAACCTGCATGGACAAAAATTACAACAGTTGTATAGATGCCGATGATGAAATCTTTATCCATCTTTAAAAACCATTCAACCGAATGTATTATACCCCAACGTACTGGGAAACGAACAAGCTTATATAGGAGAACTTGTGAAGTAACCCTAGCATATCTTCTTCTTTCCTAGAGGGTATGTATGGCGCTTCTTATCTCTTCGGAGGATGGGTATTTTTTATTTCTACAAAGTTTTCTTTCCCTTCAACAGGGTTATCTCAGCACTTGAGCTATTGTCCTTCGTCCTTCTTCATCCTCTTGCGTTCAGTGTTGTCGCATTCGACGTAATTCTTGCGATCTTTGGTACTTCGCGTGCTGGTGCTTGTATAATTCAAGAACCAATCAAGCTGTTACTTGCAGAAGTACGGCACTCGAGATGAATGTATTCTTTTCTCGCACGCGACTGCGTTTCCCCACTCATTTCAACCTGCATGCTGGACGCGCGGTTTTTATTTCAAGAGAACACCTCTTCAATAAGACGCTTATAGTTCTTCCCGATTGTTGATTCTTTTGCGCAATTCAGCGAATACACAGTATATGTATATATGTGGTATATGTACAGTATATATATTTCCTTGACGAATGCTTTTATCTTCTTCTCGACGAGGGCGTCATGAATTAACGGATGGCTTGTTGAAGATCAGAAAAAACTTCTTCGTATATAGTCATGGATAAATGGGAAATTTTACCCATGAAAGCTTTTGAGTTGTTTATTTTTTAATCGTTTCATCAATATACGCACGCGTCAAATCATTTCCTTGATTTCAATGGTCATACTTTTCGGCTCTGTTTGACATGAGTAGAAAAATACTAATGTTTATTGAATGCATGTCACGTGCTGTACTTCGATATCAGTCTACAATAATTTTCATATACAGTACTGTACATGTATAATTTTTGGACTGCAGAATTCTTGAAATCAAGGTGGCATTAATTCCAAGGGTTGCCTCCAGGTCTTCCAAGGTAATTCCGTCATTTTCATCAACAGCCGCCAAAGTGGCAGCCAATGTGGCGGCTGTGAGGCGGCTGTCCATGAATATGTTTTCCCTAAAGAATAATTTTTTCCAACTTGATTAGACGCCATTTTCATTTCCATTCCGAGAACTATCAATGTTTATTTCAGTTGCCCCTCTCATCCACAACAATATATCCCGCAATAATTTTTCTTTTTCCCAGGCCGTGGTACAGTATATACAGTATTGTACATATAGAAAGTGAGGAAATAAACTTTTCAATGAGTGGCTACAGTACTTTATTAAGATACTGTACTTCATAGAATGATTGAAGTTGGAACCGTATGCCCTCACCTTTTTTAAGAATTGTTCGGATAGTACGTATGCAGTTGTCCGCCATATTTTTATTTGCTAAGAGGTGAAGAAAACTGGAAGCTATTATATAGGAGGGTCGTCTCAGTTCAATGTGGCATAAAATACCTCTGAAGCAGTTGCAAAAATCCAGAAAATTCGAATTTTCTCAGCACAATGTTCTACGGTTTCTGGTACTATATTTCCTTGAGATTTTCAAGAAAATTTTTCATCTAAAAAGACGATTTCAGTCCACTGCTCAATGAGAAGGGAAAATGAACTAAAAATCGCCTAAAATCTGGAGAAACCTGTAAATACAGTAAGGTAATGTTTAAGAAAAAAAATTGCTGGACATCATCCACAACCGCTTTAAAATATTTGAAATTATACATTATCGTATACGTGTGGAAGAATGAGACCAATCAATGCCAAAGAAATGTGATTTCTCTGTGACAGAAATAGTCAGGTTTACCATTTATATTTTAGTTTGAAAAGGCTGGTTGAATGTATTGATGAAGTACAGATATAATAATCATTAGAAGCGAGATCGAATTCAATTAAGCGATCGAGTTAATCACAAGTCCTTTCTGAAAATGTGCGTTTTTGGAAACAAATTCGCCAAACCAGTCCCATTCACAGGCTTCCTAACTCAATACCATATAAATATTTTTTTTCTTAAGAGATGTGCCCACGTTGCCATCAATAAGTAAATGCATCGAAAGAATTATATCTTGTTCTCTGTAAAGCCAAAATAAATAAAGGAAGGCCGGAAATATAAAGCAGCAGTTGAAATAACCTCTACGCGCGACTCAAACTTTCGGAAAACAGATTGAATCAAGAGTCAGGCGGAGTGAGAGAGCGAGATTTGCTTTTGTCATTATTATTGAAAACCTTCGCCGCCGTGAAAAAAAAGAGCAGAATGAAAATTTAAAAAAATAGAGACTGAACTTCAGCAGTTGAGCAGATGCGTGAGCGAAACAACGCGACCCATTATGTCACGGACGCGTGGCGGCAGTAATGACGTGACAACATTGATAACATCTTCCTGCTCCCGGTGACAGGCCGACGACTGAAATTCCAAGAGCACACACACACATATTCAAGTGCGTTTGACAAAAAATATTTGGCCTTTTTTTTCCACTGACAGCCAACATCGAGAGAGGAGGCAAATCTTGGGGCGTGCCAGTTTCTTTGCTTGTCACATGTGATTGCCTCTGTCATGCCGCATTCCTTTTCGTGTCACACGGATTTCCGAGAGGGAAGAAACTCCGATTCATTCTGAACATATGTGAGTTCATCTGTTAGAAAAAAAAAATACTGAAAAGAGAGGTGCTCGTGTTTACCATATCTACCAGAATACAATACTGTATAAGACTTCTTATATTGTATCAGCTATCTTTAATTTTCACGTATCTTGAGGCTGATGAAAGTTTCGTCCTGAAAAATTTGAGATGTAGCACCAACGTTTTTAAACTCGTTTTTGCAATGTGCTTGTGAATTTATTATTATTGTTACAATATTTTTAATTTTCACAGAATAAACCGGAGAGTTAAACCCTACTTTTGAATGACGGTTATTTCCTTCAAGACAATGCTTTATTGCAACGACAAACTGCAAATGATGACGGATTTCAATTTTATTTAAAATTAGTTATGCTGGCAAGCCCACCTATATAAAACTTAATCGAAATGTGGATGGCTTATCAAAACCTCAGACTTCTCTGTTTTTAATCATGTTTCTCGAAAATAATCCACATTTGTACTGTTTCTGAATTTATACATCATATGCATTCAGAGTTTTTTCGATGTTTCCTCCGAAGACTGACCTTTTTCATTTCTCAATAAACCATCCCAATTTCAGATGATGAGAATAAAGAAAACCCGTAGAACAAAAATACTTGTTGTAGACACATTTGGAATGTATTGGTTTTCTGAGTCTGGCGGCTGAGGAAACCGCAGACCAGTGGTGAAATACAGTAATTCAAATATTAATCATGAATAATAGTGTGGAATGAGGAATTTTAATTTCCAGGAGAAAGTGTTCGTGAAAACACGAAGGTTATTCTTGTGAAATATGATGCGTGTCACTATCAGTAAGAGATTAATTGAAATGTGAATGGCAAATTTAGAAAAAATTCGACTTTTCTGTTCTTGAATCACGTTTCTCAGTTATAAACTGTAATTGAATTTATTATTTAGTGCGTGTTGACGAGCTCCTCACCACAAGTGTGCGATACAAATGCATCAGATCCAAAAAAAAAGAGACTGACGGGATCCAAATTGATTGCCAATGCAGCAGTTCGGATTTTTATTGGCACTTCGCAAGTTAGAGCTAAATTGGATTTTTTGGGTTT